TCATCCGACAAATTTCGTAGGCGTCAACCTTGTTTATGCGAGCGCATAAATGTGTCACAGAGGCTACGGCCGGGCGGACAACTCTTTCGGGGATTCCGGGCGCCCCCTGGCTGTTGGTTAAACTCGTCACGTTTTGTGGTCAAATATTTTTACCAAAGGATTTTCCATGCGCCGGCGCAATAATTTTCCATAACGATTACCCATACTGTTCATACATTTTCGCATTGAAAATGTTTCCTTTGTTGATCACGCCCACTGGAAATCGGTGTGATTATCACCCGGCACGGCCCACAGGAAACCGGACACGGGACACGGGAAACGGGACACGACACCCGCATCTGTCCGACCGATCCGAGCTGAAGCAATCCCCGACCGGCGACTTACTACTACAACTTTTCAAATGCTACTCGTGAGACTGAGACCCCGGTTCCACCAAAGCAATACGAGTAAAATATTCTTGATTAAAACTTATCAGAGCACATTTCATATCACCTTTTCAAAAACGCAACAAACAACAACAACAACAACAACAACAACACTAAGCAACAGTCAACAACACCCAATGAGTAACGCTCGTCAGCTCGGTAGCTACTTTATTATCGGAGAAACGGTCGAACTCGTTCCCCTTTCCCCGTGCCCAGTGCCCAGGGCCCCGATCCCGCTCCCTGCTGCCCGGTGTGTGTAGTTTGGCTGCCTCGCCGATTGGACGACCGTCGAACGCAAGATATGGCTATCTGAGCCGGCATAGTACCACCCAGCCCCACTGACGCCACAGAAATCGACAGAGAGTGAGAGAGAGAGCGAGAGAGGGCGAGAGAGAGCCGTGGAGTCCAAACCCGATTTGATTAAGTTGCATCACGCGTCGGTCGCGCGACTATACTTATCGGACCAATTGTATGTCTCTCCGTATATATGTAATATATGTGTGCGCGATTGTGCCTCTGTATGTGTGCTCATATATCCTTATCAATATTTCTATACGTTTGGAAAGGTTTTGTTTTGGTGACGATGACAACGGAAACTTGGGAAACACCGCCAACACTACTGATTGCCACTATCTGAGATGTTCATGGGAAAAACAAAAAAAAAAACTAAAAGATTGCAAGCATCCAGTCAACATTAAACTATGCTAGAATTGATTGAGTTATATCCAAATAGTTCAAGAGCTAACATCAATTTTAAATACCTGTGAATATCCCTTTGCTTGCCAAAAAGTGTTATCCATAACATCTAACATCTATCGGGAATTGCGTTTAGACTTCTTTTCCGTTGCAGATGCACATCAAAATGCCAATTCGAGCCAAGTTTCAAATATTATTAATTATGAAAGAAATAATTAACTACAATCAATTTCATTTGATTTATTGAAACTGAGTTTCTTTATGTGTCCTCAATCTGTTAAGTTAAAAAACGAAATACTATTTGTGTATGACATATATAATAAATAATATTAAAGCCCCACACATCAGCGCACACACAAATGCATGCGCTTAGCATTATATATATAAATCGCACCTAATTATGTATAAATCTTTATTGTTTTAAAGTCTGGCGTCCGTAAACACGGGATGTTTTTGAATAAGATCCGGCTTCTAAGATGCCAATGTTTTGAACCTAAATTAAACAAAAATAAAAACAACTATACATTCAGATATTTGCGTGTTAACCTTGTAAATACATACTAAACTAGAAATAAATATTAACTTTATGAAATGCTATATGGACAGTTAATAGCCTGCAGACCTCTAGCCACACCTGTTTTAACGAACGGGATCAGAATTCGATCTCTATCCATGCACATAACTAGTTCTATACTAATGACAATAGAATTTCAAAATGCAATTTGCATTTAACAAAGAGAACTATCTAAAAGATGTATAAACTAAATAATGCATGATTACAAATTTGATTCATATTTATGTTTGATAAATTTAAATAAATAAAGACAAACTCCAGAGTGTCTGGTCGGGTGTCTGCAGAAAATTAACAAACCACTACAAAAATACCAAAAATAAATAAGATAACGGCGTGAATAACTCGATAAACGGAATGTGCAAAGGAAACTTCTATGGAATACAAAAGACCCCGGGCGCTGTGACGTCACGGCAAGTGATAAAAAAAAACAACACACACAAGAAGCATATTGCAAACTGTGATAAGGGGCAAAGAGTAGCCGAGATTGTCAAACAATGGCTGAAAGTCAGATAAGAAGGTAAACAACCTGCGAGGAGGAACTTTAGGCAGGCGCCGTCATCAGCTGAAGAGGGAAAAAGGGCCCGGATCCTAAGCCGATAATAAAGTGTGGGTGTGGCCCGCCCTATCTCGGCATGCGCCAGCATCAGAAACTCCGATGCAAAGCCCGGAAGACGCATTGCGGGCATAAGATAAAATACAACAGAATCCAGACTCCAGATTCCAGACTCGAGAAGCGTAAAGGTCATATACGAGCCGGGAACTCAAATGAATGCCAGAGCCAACAACATGGCTGCTCCCGGATCGAACTCGGCTGCTTGGTTTATCAGCAACGGTTTTGCTTTTGCTTTGTTTCATTTGTTTGGCTTTGGCTTTGCATTGTTTTGTTTTTGCTGCCGACGCGCATTGAACGTGCCAGCGATAATTTAATTTAAATATAAAATATTAACGGCCATTTAAAAAGAATTAAAAGCGGGAATTACAATAAGCGAACCCACCAGCCAGATAAGCCGCGCTCCACAACCGACTCAGCCCCAACAACAAATCCGTTGGAAAATGCTAAAGAAATTGAAAAACACAGAATGTCTATAGTCAACACGCCGAAGATTGAATACCCTTAGGGTATAACAGTCTGAGCTGATACGGTTTTGCAGATATGTTGGGAAGCAGCTTCTCGCTGGTAATTTCGGAGCTTGGCTTATATATCTTGAAAAACATAGGGGACATTTGTATATTGGCACCAATTTTGATTAAGATATCTTGAAAAGCATACAAGTTTTTCCCACACAGGTTTTTCTAAGATAATAAAGTTTTTCCAAAATAATAAAATGGTTCGAAGGAATAGTCAAATGAATAAATGCAGTTTGGTTAATGTCTCTTCAACAGCAAAAAAGTTGTTCGCAAAAGCACTTCATTTTTGACCGATCGTTCCTATGTATGACCGCTATATAGACGGACATACAGATATATGGAAATATATGTTAACACTATTATCATACAAATCCATGACGGTATCAAAATGTGCTGAGCTGAGTCTGGCTTTGAGATCGGTTCGCTACGACGACATAAATAATCCAGCAACGGACACAACCATTGGACTGCACAGTTTAAATGTACGCATGTATGAATTAATGTATGAACATATGTATGCATATATCTATGTATGTACATACATACAATCTTTAGGCGCATCATCGTGACGGTGCCGCTAGAGATAAGAACAGATTTCAAAAATAAAATCAAACAGAGCGATTATAAAAAATTGAACGAATGTCTACTGAAAGAGTGGGAAATTGAAAAAAAGCCAAACTACAAAAAGTGAACTATGTAAATATGTAACATAAAATATGTATGTTTGGTAAGGGGTCAATTGTGTTTATTAGTTCTGGTCCCTGCTCATAATGTTCGAATGCTGATAAGACTAAGAGGACAGCTCTAAAGAGCACCAAGAATCTGAAATATAAAATCAGATTGAAATAGTATTATGAGTTGAATTGTACGTGAGGTATTTCTAGAAATACTATTATATTATTGTACTGATTCTTTTTTACAAAAATTGCAAAATTGTGTATATCTGTATTAAAACTCAACAAATTTGAGTCAACGACCAATTTTTACAATATTTCGCTTCTTACAACTTTACAAAGTTTTTTTTGCCTTGTAACAAAAAATTGAACATAAGCATACTTATTAGTAAATGTACTTTTCTTTTATGTTGCCTTACTATGCGATTTTCATCAAGATTTTCATGTATTGATGGCAAGTGCTATATTAAAAATGTATATTTTCCCTATACCCTAAACCCTATTTTGTCTTTTAATAAGGTATATGTATATGTATGTATCTGATGTATACTAGCGGGTATTTTCCGGAAGCTTTGTGCTGAAAACTTTAGATATGACTTTTTCACTCCCACACATCGAATTACCATCCTAGAGTAGTAGATTTTGCGAAAAATATTCTCGGACGGAATTTCCGAAATTGCTGATACGTATTCATTAAGTTCTTATGAATTTAAAGCCGATCGGACAGAACTTGATACCTCGCCCTTACAACCTTTGACCCGTATTGATCATCTAAGAGAGTCGCTAAAACACGTATTAATTAAGTTTAAGTTCTTAAGTAGAGCTTTCGTATTAAGTTGATCGGAAGAAACTTAAAGCTTACCCATGAAATCTTTTTCCACATTTGCAGGTGAAAAATTAAAATCATCGACCGCCATTTCCATTAAGAACAAATGGATTTTCCGAAAAGTGTGAAACACCCATCAAATGAATTTGAACAAGGTCTTTGTAAATTAGTGGAGTTCCTCAAATACTCGTCATAATGTGCACCTCCATTATATAAATTAACTACGGTTTGGCCCGTGCGTGGATTACCAGCATAAACAGTTTTATAAATAGAGATCAATTTATGTGCATCTACGTGTCTGCATGTAGCTTGGGGCGTTTATGTCCATGCAAGTAACTATGTAAAATTGTTTGACTAAATATATATACATACATATTAGATGTTACAAGGGTCTGTTGCTTTTCTAATATGAACTGTGTGCTTTGTTATATATCTGGAACTAGTTCCATGAGGGAAACTATTCGTAAAGCGTGACAGCCTCGTTTACAATCTTTGAGTTTATAATAAAAAGCAATGATAAGGCTGGCCCACTCAGGATTTTAGATAAATTTATATATGTATATATATGGTTACAAGGGTCCGTCGCCTAATTCTTATGTGAACTGTGTGTTTTTGTTATATCTGGAACTAGTTCCATGAGCGAAAACGTGTCAGCCCCGTTTACAATCATTGAGCTTATAAAAAGCAATGATAAGGCTGGCCCACTCAGAATTTTAGATAAGCATATTTGCCGGCTAGGAGCACAAATATCAAAAACTGATTAGTTGAAACCGAGCCACGTTACGGAGCACACATGCAAGTTGCAGCAATATGTCGCAGAAAGATCAATTTACATTCCGTCGGGCTGAAAAGGCGGATATTAAAGCAGTGCTAGAAATGATACAGGTAAGGGGTGAATGTCTTTGATAAATGCAAATATAGTGAATACGACTGAACTTTCCAAAGGAACTGGCTGACTTTGAGCGCATGAGCGATGGCCCCCAGCTGAGCGAGCAGGGTGAGTAGAGAATATCGAAGCGAGCTCGTCACCCATTTTGATATTTTTCCCACACGCAGAACTTATACGCGACGCGGGCCTTGATGGTGGACCCGAATATTGCCAAATCTATGTGCTCACAGACAATGCCACAAAGTAAATGAGACAAACAAGTGATAAGAAAGATCATTAGAAAGCTGGGCGTCAAATTGAAAGACGCTCCGCAAATTTTTGCCTGACAAACAATGTTCAGTGTCAGTCAAATAACAAATGTTTGGCAAACATTTGCGCTCGAGGAAAGCGTTCCGATAAGATTGGGCGCTACAATTTGACGGCATTAAAACAACATTTCCTTCAACAGGTCTTGCATTGGCTATGCTATCTGCTTTAACTCGTACTCCACCTGGCAGGGACGTTCCCTATTTCTCGAGGATATCTATGTTCGTCCTACCCATCGCAATCAGGGCGCCGGTGCACGCATTTTTCGTGAAGTAGCCGCCATTGCGGTTAAGCTAGGCTGCCGACGACTGGATTTCCATGTGCTCAGCTGGAACCCGGCCCGTAAGTTCTACGATCAGCTGGGCGCAACAAATTTAACAGAAACGGAAAACTGGCATTTTTACCGCGTGGAGCAACAACAATTGGGCAAGCTAGCCGGCGAATTGGAAAGATAGCCAGTAGTGTCATTCGATCTGTCTATTTCTGTTAGGCTAATTAACAAATCAGTGCTTATTGCAATAAATAATACTTGGCTATATACATTTGACTGATCACTGGTCACCGCTGACACTCGCTATAACATGGATCTGCATGCTCTTGGTCGAGTTGTAGACCTGGCCGGGCGGAAACGGGTGCACCCTGGAGTGGGCATCGGCTTTGTTCTTGCCCCCAGCTGTGTACTTGGACAGGCGTATGCTGGGCATAGGCAGAAATCCAGTACTCAGAGGCATAACGTCCAGCGATATCGAATGACAGTCCACATCCTTCATGGATACAACACCTGCAAGATTGTTAAATACATTGGTTAATGTGACAGGTTTGTAATAGATCCTGAGTAAAGCACAAATTTGTTTGTTTTTCAAATAAGCCAATTAAAAGCCTAGCTACATGTAAAGCGAACTTCGCCAACTCGAAGTTAAAGTACTCTATTATATAGAAAAGTGCAGAGGCCCACGTTATGAATTTAAACAGTTTACAAACCATTATCGTTTAAAGAGACAAATCCTAATTTAAATAAAACAGTAAGACAACTAAAAAATAATCTTATACAATTTCTTCTTTCCCAAAATTTGGAAGTTTCATAATTAATCATAATAAATAATGTATTATTAGCGCGAGCATTTACTGTAGGCTTTTACACGTTTTATCATTATTAAGGGTTAGGGCTCAATTGGCCCAATTGGGTGCTACTACGTGTGTTCATAAACCAAAAACTTACCCATGTCTTTATATGCATTTAAAAGTGTATATCATGTGTCAAGAAATTAGAATTAAATAATAAGCAAATATATATAATTAAGATAAAATGGATAAACGACGACTCACCTGCGGAACGACCACAAACTGCCCACAGATTTTGATCATTGAGCACCTCGTACATGAGATCTACATATGGATTCTCATTGATTTTGGTAATCTTCAGATTCAAATTGCAAACGGTGCGCAGGCGGCACAACTCGTTCGGTTCCAACTGTGCCTGCAGCTTGAAAAGTGTGGAATATTCCACCAAATCAAAGGCACAACCATAATTGCGCCAGATATGCGGCTCCGACAGAGCTGCATACTTGACCACAAAGTGCACCTTGACAATGGGCAGCTCGTGTTCGGCTTTTAGAGGCTCCACTTGTATCTCATATAGATAGGTGACCGTCAAAGATTTATAAATTTCCTGCAAGTGGAATAGAGTCAGCTGAAATCTTCCAAAGTCGTTTCCTTGTTAAGTGATAGGCTTACAATTGGGTCTTGTGACTCGGGATTGAGATCCAGCAGACGCACGCCGGGCACATCACACTTAACTTTGGCGTGCTGCAGCAATAGTCGCGCATCCAGACCCTTCATAATGACCTGCAGGAACTTTTGTGTGCCGCAGGTGTGTAGACGGCAAGTGGCTTCCATGGCGGGCTGAAACTCAATGGGTATTTGAAGGTCGTTGCGCGACCAAGGGCAGCTGAGTGTTACGTGATGCTCATGATGTTTGGCCATTTTGCGACCAGGCATATCGGTAAGAACCTCTAGCGGAATGCGACGCTCCTCAAACGACTTAAACTGCAACAGCGGCACTTGCAGCACATTCTCAAAGTTGGCATCGGTGTTGCTAGCCGACGCACTCGGCTCCAAGGCCTGCCGTATGCGCAGATTCTTAGAGCAGCGCAACGTGATCTTTGCATCTGCGGGAAAGATGAAACTGCCGCCGGCCACATGCAAATTGATGGGCTGCACAATGCCTGCGATGAGTGTCTTAAACTCCAGTGAGGCACTCGCTGGCTTGGTGCAAATCTCAAAGCTCGGCGGCTGCACACTTAATGGCAACTGCTCCGAAAGAAACTCCAGGCTGGACATAGTTAGACACACTTGCTTAAACTGCCAACGTCCCACGCGAGTCGCCTTCCCCTTTAGCTCTACAAGATTAATGCCCGGCTGCAATGCCATATTCTCGATCTGCACAATATTTGTGAAATCTGCTTGGACGCTGGGTGAGAGTTTGCGCTTGGTGCTGCTGGTGCGTCGCACCGGTTGCTTAGTCTTGGGCGTGTCACAGACCACCGAGGCGCAGTTGAGCGTATTGTCTTGCTTATGGAACAGCTGCAAAGAGACTTTTGCACGCGATTCACACTCCCTGTGCTGTGCAGGTACCAGAGAAACTTCCTGCATAGCTGTCTTCAAATCGGGTGTTACATGCAGCTCATAGCACAGCTTTATGCACTCGGCCACAATCTCACGGGGATACAGACTTTCCAACTTTAGCTGCACCAGCAAATGATCATCTTGTATAATGGTCTTCGTATTTTGCACCTCGATGTCCACTATCCGAAAATGATCCTCCAGCACACAATAGTTGGCATTCTCTACGGATGGCTGTGCCGACAACGTTGTCTTAAGTGTTTTCAACGATTTGAGGAATTCATCAAAGTAAAAAGTGCGCACAAGTGTCTCCAACTCGGCGCAGCAGGAAATAGAGCTGCAGGTCTTGGTGTAGGCGAGCGAGTCGCCCATTTTGCGATAGCAATTGGCCAGCTCCAGCAGCGTCTGTGAGCTGAGCATATGCCAGTTCTCCGCCTTCAGTTCCCGCAACAAATCAGTAAAGAAACCCACCGCTTTGTGGGGCTCATTCAAAGCACAGTAGAATTTTCCCAAATCCAGACCAACCAGTCGGGCAGAGCGCAATCGCGTCACATGCTTGTACGTACTAATTGCCAGCTCGGCCAGCTCGAGATAGAGCTTTTGGAATGTCTGATTCGAGCCCAATGCCTCTTTAAGCTGTTGAGCCGCCGACAGTTTAGGCTTACGATTGGGCGAACGATCGCGCAATTGCGGCATGGCCTGAAGAAACTGCTGTTGGGGCGGCACATCGCCAATACCCGAGGAGAGTTGCACCACAATGTGCAACTGCTCGGAACTGGGCGTGCAGCCTGGCAATAGGCCACACAGCTTGCCCAACTCATAGAGCTTGTCCTTGGCCAGGTTCCAAATTGGTGCACAGTGCTGGAAGCAGGTCACCTCGTTGGGTTCCATGGCCTGTTCGCATAGCTGCAGTACTTCGAGAGCGCAAACAAACTCCCAGCAACATAGTGCGCCCTCCTGGCAGTCCAGTTTTATATACTCCACTTCACGCAACGTGGAGAAAAGAAAACCTAACAGTCGTTTTGCAATCTCCGGTATCTCATTGCATGTGAGCAGCAGATAGGCCTGGCGCTCAAACAAATAGTTGCGGAATTCCAGCAGTGAGACGCCCTCGTTTCGTATTTTTTGTCGCATCTCGAACTTGTCCACGCGGCTCAGACAGATGCCATGGAAAGCGCTAAGCGGACGCTTAAAGTATGCCAGCCACTGTTGCTTCTCGTTGAAGCCCGTGTGCGTGATGAACTGCGAGAACATTGCATCCAGTTCGTCGTATTGTATAAGCGCCTCTGTGGGCAATTCCAGTTTCTCGAATATCAGTGCCAAATCCTCCTGCATAAAGAAATATTGTCGAAAATCCCAATCATCGTGATTACGTTTCTCCCGCTTGCTGCGTATCAGCTCCTCGTACTTGGCAATGTTGCGATTAAAGCTAGTGAGCATAAGGAACCGTATGCGGTGTACCAAGCAGCGAAAGGATTCCGTAGATTTCTGCTCAAATTTGGCTGGATTCAATACGGAAATGCAACGATCATCGTTTTTACTGCCAAAATCTAAACGTATCTTATCCAGCACTGTAGTACGTGGCAGTAAGTTCTTTGTCTTGCGCATATCTAGCGTCTCTACCAGCAAAATCATCCAATCGGAGATGCCGTAGCTGGTCAACAGCTTGAGCCAGGCATCAATTTCTTCTCTTATTGTAGCCTTGTATGTGTCGATGTCCTTTAAAAAATAAAAATATTACTATTATCTCTATATATGAAACCATTTTCCTGACAGATTGACTGACTGATTGATATCAATGTATATCCAAAACCGTAAGAATTGGGAAGCTCAAATTAATGCTATAGTTAATTTGAGTGATGAAGAACTACATTACGACGGAGTTCTGGCAATTCCCCAGCAAGTGTGGAAAATTGGCGGAAAATGGTTGGATAAAAGTCGGTAGGGCTCTAACTTATTTTCAAAGATTTTAGTGAACATTTGAGATTATTTCGAACTTTTTTTAAGTCCACCCCTCTTAAATGAACATCTAATCAGAACAGAAATTTGGAACAGTGGAAGTCCGCTCAATAGAACTCTCGATGAAGAACTACTGGTATTGGATGGGCTTGAGTATTACACAAAACTCGTTCATTTATCCGCCCCACACACTCACATTACACTCCGTGACAAAGATGTGCAAAATGGGATGCTCCAAAATGCTCCATTCTCCCCGTTTATATCTCTCCAGTGGTTCCACGCTAAACTGCTGGGTTTGCGCCTCCAAGCGTACATGTTTTGTTGGTCTTTGAAAAGTGCGTCGCCACTCGCATGTGTCCAAGGGAATCGCATTTAGGATTTGCGATTCAAGCGATCGAAAAAGTGGAAATGAGCCAGAATCTGGAAACAATTCATGCTTTACATAAGCTAACAATACTGAGTTTGTATCGCTAACTACTTACAGGTTATGATTGGCTTTATCTGCATTCTAATGTCAGTTTACTTTAATATTTTCATTTGAAATAACTTTAGGAACAGCACAAAGCAAAGTAGTCAGCGTACAACACAATAACAGCTGTTTTTGTTGCAGCAGTCACATATGTTTACGGCATACAATTTAACATTTTGCTTCACTGTTATTAAAAGCGAGCAATAATTCAGCATATACTGTGGCTTATTCCATTCATTAATAGTTAATAGCTTAAATATATTGTTTTGGCAAATCTTATAATGCTTATAAAAAAAAATCCTATCTAGCAGCTATTAATAGGTTAATAAAACAAATAAGACACAAGTTGAAGATTAACACACACAATTAACAGCAAACGACTGGCGAATAATTATTAACAAGTTAATCGCTGCATTATTGTGAATTATATATCGATAGGCAAAATATTCATCGAACAGCTGACAGCGGGTGAAAGCAGAGAAATCATTAGAAACAATGCTGGGGATGTAAAAAAAATTCAATAAAATATTTCGAAAAACAATAATTTAACTCCCATATTCTTAGTTAGTCTTATGTTTAAGTGCACAGACAATTAGCTGCTTCGGAATATGGAAATGGCCAGAAGCATATTCGGTCGCGACCACGAGGGTTACGTGGGCCGTGAAGAACATACGGTAACAATTCAATTTAGATGATAAATTGATTGCTTATCAAACTAATTAAAATTGCTGATTTTTCACGCCGTCAACACAGCGCAAACTGCAGACTTTGAGCTCCGAAGACGATATAGGTGAACTACCACCCATGATGGAAGAACTGAGCGTGGCTGATGGCTTGCGTCCGAATCCAGGGGGACCGTTTTCCGCATTAACACCATCAATGTGGCCACAGGAGATACTCGCCAAACTGGGCGGCGAATCGGAACTAGCAGCAGCGGGACCCAACGATCAACCCGATTACCGATTCGATGAATTTGGTTTTCGCGTCGAGGAGGAGGATGGACCCGAGCAAAGCTCAAATAAACTGCTTAGCATACCATTTATGGAGGATGCACAGCAACGTCTGCAGTGGATAGCCCACCTGGAGTTTGCCCACAACAAAGAGGCCAACGAACTGAGCTGGGAGCATGTCGAGCCGCTACTGCAGCGTACAGAAAAACTGCGAAAGATGGTGCAGAACGGCATACCGCACAGTCTTCGCCCACAAATGTGGATGCGGCTATCCGGTGCGCTGTCCAAAAAGCGAAAAAGCGAGACCAGCTATCAGGACATTGTCAAGGGTGAGCAGACCTTATTATAACGCCTAAAATATGTATATTTATTCAATGCCATCATAACAGCTTCCAGCAACGATCAGCTAATGACATCGAAGCAAATTGAAAAGGATTTGCTCCGCATATTGCCAACAAATGCGTGCTTTAGTCATCCAAATGGCACGGGCATACCACGATTGCGGCGTATTCTGCGTGGCATTGCGTGGCTCTTTCCGGACATTGGATACTGCCAGGGCACCGGTGTCATTGTGGCCTGCCTGCTGCTGTTCATGGAGGAGGAGAATGCATTTTGGATGATGGTCACCATTGTGGAGGATCTGCTACCGGCCTCGTACTACAGCTCAACGTTGCTTGGCATACAAGCGGATCAGCGTGTGATGCAAACGCTGATAGCCAACTATTTAGCTAGCGTGGATGAGTCCCTCAAACGGCACGACATTGATCTATCGCTGATAACGCTGCACTGGTTTCTTACACTATTCGCGAACGTGGTGCACATGAAAATATTAGTACGCATATGGGATTGGTTTTTCTACGAGGGTTCCATAGTACTGTTTCAGCTAACGCTGGGCATGCTTAAAGTGAAGGAACAGGATCTCAAGCACTTGGAAAATTCGGCGCAAATATTCAATTCACTTTCCATGTGCTGCGAGGTGGATGACGTAGAGGTGCTCTTCCGGCAGGCGCTTGAAGTGGGTGGATCTTTGAGTCAAACCGTGATCGACACACATCGGCGTCGCCATCTGGCCTATTTGATGGCCGATCAAGGTCATCAGATTGGCAATCCGGAGGCTGCCGCCAATCTGCCCAAACAGCAGCTAGCCCGACGTCAAGTGCGCAAAAGTAAATCGATACTGGAAGCATTTCTGTTTCGTGGCGATCCCGAATCGGATCAGCTAAAGAATAAAAACATACGACAGACCGAAATACTTGTGGATCTGCGCGAGGCCATACTAAAGGTGGGCCGTCATTTTATAACCATCGAGCCAAAACTTGCGGGTCACATACAACTGACGGCCAACTACAGCAGTGAATCCCATGCCAAGGATCATGAGAATTTCATCAATGTCGCACGCACCCGTAAACGGCGCGCCAAAGCGCTGCATGACTTTGAGAGGCATGACGATGATGAGTTGGGCTTCCGACGCAACGATATCATAACCATCATCAGCCAAAAAGACGAGCATTGCTGGGTGGGTGAGCTGAACGGTTTGCGGGGCTGGTTTCCCGCCAAGTTCGTCCAGCTGCTGGATGAACGTAGCAAATTGTATACCTCGGCTGGCGATGATGCCATTTCGGAGACTGTTACAGATCTAGTGCGTGGCACTCTATCGCCCGCCATAAAAGCATTCCTCGAGCATGGCATGAAACGACCCACATTCCTGGGCGGACCCATACATCCGTGGCTATTCATTGAGGAGGTTTCCTCGCTGGAGGTGGAGAAGGACTTTAAATCTGTGTATAGTCGTTTGGTGCTTTGTAAAACTTATCGCCTGGATGAGGATGGCAAGGTATTGACGCCCGAGGAGCTGCTCTATCGCTGCGTGCAGGCCATTAATCAATCACACGACAATGCGCATGCCCAAATGGATGTCAAACTGCGTTCGCTTATCTGTCTAGGCCTCAACGAGCAGGTGTTGCATCTGTGGCTTGAAGTACTTTGCGCCTGCCAGGAGGTGGTGCAGAAATGGTATCACACCTGGAGCTTCATTGATTCCCCAGGCTGGGTGCAAATTAAATGCGAATTGCGCATACTCTCACAGTTTGCCTTCAATCTGAATCCGGACTGGGAACTTCCGCCCAAGCGTGGCAAGGAATCGCAGCCACTGAAGGATGGTGTACGCGATATGCTTGTTAAGCATCATTTGTTCTCCTGGGACCTATGAGTCGGCCTACGGGCAAACAACGTTACAAACGTGATCTGTGGGAATGCATCGCAAAAATATTCGATATTTTTTTTATAGATTTGCGTAATGCTATTCATTAAGTATGTACAATCATGCACGTTGCCCAATCCGCCCTAAATTCCAAAGTATTTAACCTGATCAAAACCTTCGCGGGAACTATGCTTTAATATATATTGCTTTCATTTCTTGTGCAATCTTTTCTAAGAAACGTATATCTTCGGCCCACCGAAGCAGACATATCCTTGCAGAATATGTAATGGATTTTCCCCAATTTCCAAGGCAGCTTTTTGTTTATTTACTCTGCAGGGGTATCAACTAAGCTTGTTAAAAACTTCTTTGTTGTGCGCTTATCATTACTTTAAGCCCCATTTTCATACCTATATATATACATATATATATACATTTAAATTTAGTACTTGCTATTTAATTACTTTAAAATATATCCATCCATATTTGTAGCTCCCACATAACACAAAACCCAGCACACAAAGAATTGTACTAAATTACAAACATAATGTACCTTTGAATTTAAATCAAATCTTATAAAGTATTTATAATATATATACACCTAGATATTAAACAATCTAAAATGCATTTCATTAAAGTTTAAAACACACACATATATATATATATATATGTATATAGCAATTGTATATTACGTTGAGTTGGTTTATGTTAATTGTTCTTTATATTAATTGCAGACCAGCCCCAAGTAATCATCCATCAGAGTTCCAATAGCAAACTGTGATAAGAAATTAATTAAATGTTTACAATTTTAGAGCAAATCCTTGTGAAAAAAAATGCACTTACAATGCCGGTGGCATCAACACGAGTGCCGACAATCTTCAGGCGTATTTTATCCTCGCCTGATATGACTACATCTTCATCTTTAGACTTGTAGCATGGCGGATTGCCATTTGGGCAGAATTGCATGTCAGCGGGAATAGACTGTAAAAAATGAAAAAATTAGTCATACACAATCACACACTAAGTGCCAAACTCACATGATGCGATATAAAACACGATAATGGTCCGATTTCTGCAAACATGCCCACTTTATTTATCTGTTTGACCACAGCGTCGAGGACTTCACCCTTGAATGGCCGGAACACAATAGCCTTATACTTCACTGGGTATACAACGAAGCCCTGACCTGGCTGTATAACACCAGAGCCGATCAGGTCTATTGTTGTGACAGCTATAACGAAACCATATTTGCCTGTGCATGTGCCCTCCACCTCCGAGTAGAGCTTCTGTTTCACCGTCTCCAACAATTGTGGCCCAAAGTAGCGCGGATGTAGCAGAATTTCGTGTTCAAGCGAAATCTGTGTGGCGCAAAGTTAAACAATTGTTGCATAATTAAATAAACAGTGTAACTTACGTGATAAAACATGTTTTTAGTATTTGTTTTATTAATTTTAGGTATAACTCAATAAATTGCAGAAAACTGACAAAAACGCGCAAGCAACATAATACAAATATTATCGTTATCGATAAATTGCATTGCCGGCAATATTTACGACCAGTGCTGAAAAGTGTAAAATAAAAAGCCGGAAATTTCAAAAGGCAACATTTTGCAAGTATATATTTAACAAGTCTATAAATTGCATGGGAGGCCAGCGTAAATTAAACACAAAATAAATAACAATCACCCATCACATAAACACATTAATCACTTAAAACATATGACTAAACTACTCTTCCTTAAGATTTAATTGAAACTCATGCGCCTGACCTCCTGGCCGAAAGATGCGCACATAGGCCGATTTAATTCCAAACTTCCAAATAGCTACAGTTGGCAAGTAGTACATAAAGAGATCCATTAGCCAAACTCGAAAATTGAAATACCAGCGGACAATGGCATATTTGTGCAAAAAGGTAACAATAAACAAACCGTAACTAACGATAAATCGATCCCACAAATTCAGGTCATAATAGTATGATTTCTGCTGCGGATCTTTTTGCTCACCGGCAGGATAATCAAAGCTGTAATATTCATAGCCCTTGACGTAGGCCAAGCGCTTGGTAAAGTAAATATTTGCTCTAACCGACAGCATTGTATTGGCATGCCAAAGTCCATGGATAAGTGCTTCCGTCATGCGATAAAACTCATCATTCGTTTGCTCGAGCGCAGGCGTGTATACTCTACGCATGACAATGTTCAAACGCTCCTTGGACTCCACCCAGTTGCGTCCACAAATATTGTATTCGTCTTTAATGCCCAGTAAATAGCCCAGTACGCGCCACATATGCGTTGTAGCCTCCAGGAAATCATCATCGTTAAGCTGTATTCGGTGTGCTCCCAGCGTTATAAAGCCAATGAAACCAAACTGTGTCAAGGCTAAATCCTTTTGCGTTATCTGGCCGGCCCCACGTTGCTGGCAGGCATGACTAGAGCGCGAATGCGCCTGTCTCACAGCAGCAATGCTGGTCCAGAACTTGCTGTTTCTATCGTCAATGGAATGGAAATACCAGGCGTGTGTATGGAAAATGGTGCGCAAATAACGGCGATATGCAGTGAGGGCATTCGAAGACTGACGAGTACAGATAAGTACGCGGAGTATAGATGGTATGGCAAGAACTGCGATCAGACCAGCCAACATGCCTGAAGTCATCACAAAGCGATATTTGCTAAAATATCTCTGACCCCTGTACATGAGGAGTGCATACATTATTTTTGTACACATGCACAGATTGTTTAATTTTACTACTACACTTACCGCTTGAATAGCTGTTCATTGTACCATGACGGCAGCTGCAGCTCTGCCCCACTATCGCCCTCCTGGCTGCCATTTATTAAAAGGTTCTCCAAATATTGCTCAGCGTGTTCTTCATTGCCATTGCTAGCCATACCTTTGCTTTTGTATACGTGCATTTTTTAACATGCCACTCAAAATGCTTAAATCACATTGAAGCAGGCAGAGTAAATATTATACAACAACAATCTATCGTGACCAAGCGCACATAAAAAGAGAAAGTTTTTCAGAGCTACATTTGTCACTTGCACTTACCGACGCGTCGGTATCTCGTCGACGTTGCTTTCCCAGCGTTCAAAAGTAAACAAATTAAATTGGGTACAATTTGCACAACCCGAAAATGGCAAATTTCACAATTTAGCAGCAAGTTAGGCAATTTAACTACGAACAATTGAACAATTGTTGTGCGCAGGAAGCTTGTTCCAATTACACTAACTAGCACGGCAGATGGTATTTATACTCTGTCCAAAATTACAGGCAGTAAGCTTTTTAACTCTGCATTGCGAATGCAGCTCCACAGAGCGTTGCGCGCCAAGTGTTCAAATATTTAGAGATAAACTTAGCAAAAATGCAATATTATGCTAATAATGTACCAAAGAGTTGCCATCTGTGTAAAAAGACACTTTAATATGTTCCCGTTTGGCAGCATGCTTTTTGCTATCGGCATTTCGATGACCAGAAAAAAACAGCAATCGATTGCTGTGATTTTAAATTTAGATCCCCGCTTTGTTTCGCTTCTCCGGCGGCGGAACCTAACTTTATTGCGTATTTTCTTTAACATATGAAAGTAAACGTTTCCAATACCGCGGTGGGGAAATATCTTTATTTTTCAAGTCGTTTTTATAAGGATTCCATTTCTTAAATTTTAGCAATTAAAGGTTGCTGATACCGGGGTGGCAGAAGTCAAGGACCGTGAAGCAACGATTCTTCTTGACGTTGATTTTCCGATAGCGTTTACCTATCGTCAAAGTTTTGAAGATGGAAGAATGAGACCTGCTAACTATCGATGATGGGACATTAAAAATATCAAATTTTCAATTTGGCAGAGTTTATCATGCATAAAAAATGTATAAAAAAATATATAAGAAACACTGTTTGCATTTGCAGAGGCTTAACTTCAAATGTTAAATAACAATATTAAATTTAAGTTTACTTGCATACTTTTTAATTAAATTTCATTATATAATAATTCTAAAATAATAATATAAATCAAAATTAAAATGTTAATTATGCGTAAGTTATACATATTAAATACTAGCGGTTATACAAGTCCTTGCCCCAAATCTTTGACCCCCATTTCCACAAAGGAGGGATGGATTTTCAAAAAGATCCGAAACACCCCATAGGTGAATTCTGATAAAGATCTTTGAATATGTTCTTGTAATTGAAGAGAAGGTAAACAAAAACCGAACTCAAAAACTGGTGCGTCATTGGAAAATACACAGTCGCATAGATGCAATTTTTATCCAGCCTTCTTCTCCGATCGCTCCATTACGACCACCATTAAAGAAACTAATACATGTTATTCATAAATTATTAAATATTCATGTTAATTAACCCTTTACATTTTATTTTAAGTTTTTGTAAACATACTAGTGCAGGTGTATTAGGTGTATTATTTTCACTATCTTTCAAATATAAATAGCATCCGCCTCATCGACAATTCGATACTTATACTCGTTATCGATATCAGCTCTCATTAGCCCATCTCGAAGCGCGTACGATAGTTCTAAGCTATCGGAAATTCATCGTTCAGGAAGTATCAATCGTGCCGCCACCGCATTATCGACAACTTTTATTTGCTTGTATTTAATAAAATAAGCAAGTTAGGTTTCACCGTAGGAAATGAAGTTCTGATAAAAACTAAGTGAAGTGTAACCCTCATTTGACGTTCTTTATGTGGGACAACTAAACGAAGAACCACCCCGGGATAAACCGATTATTTTTATGTCATCTCAGTGGCAGTGTTGTACAACATGCTCCAACATGCGAAGTTAGCTAACACTTACAAAATACGGCAATATAAAAAATTCTTGCGACAAGAAAAAATAAAGCCGTAAATTATTGTTACCCACAAATTATTATATTAGCTATTGCAAAAAGCGCTATAGTGCTAAGCTCCATATAAATTAAAATTGAAAGCCGATTAGTTAAAATTGATGTAAGCAGAAAACTTAAAACAAGGAGGAGCCAATTTAAGAGACAGCAACAAAGAAGGTCCGGCAGCATACATACATACAATATGCATAGATAAGCCTGCACTTCAAGCTACATATCAGCAACAACATACATGTTACAAATATCTATAAAAACAGTAAAATATCTAGTGCTTCTTGAATTGTATAATTGATCAAATTGATTGCTAGATTCGCGAAGGGTCTGTGCAACGCTTGAGTCATTGTCATCTCTCCCTCTCTCGGTGTGTGAGTGCGTGCAAGTGTTCGTGTATGTGTGTGAGCGGTAAAGAAAAATATATAAACCCGTACGCAGTCAAAAACTACTCTGACTCACATTAATTTATACCTAATTATGCGCTTAATTAATTTTAATCATTTTTAATTAATAATAATTTGCGTACAACTACTTGCAGTTGCAGCTCTACTTTTTGAGTGGGGCGGGGAGCACGCACACCAATACAACCACACGACCAGCACACCCACACACATACGTTTGATAGACTTACGACTGCAATTGTAAACATCGACAGGCACTACGGAGCGAACGAAGCCAAATGACGGAATACAAGCTAGTAGTTGTTGGTGCCGGTGGCGTTGGCAAATCGGCGCTAACCATACAACTCATCCAAAATCATTTTGTAGATGAATACGATCCCACAATCGAGGACTCATATCGAAAGCAAGTGGTTATTGGTGTGTATTAGGCGAAACTATTATCATTGCAAAAACAATTAGTTTTTATTAAAATATAAACAAAATCTTTATGTTGTCAGATGGTGAGACCTGCTTGCTAGATATTCTGGATACCGCCGGACAGGAAGAGTATTCCGCCATGCGTGATCAGTATATGCGTACCGGTGAGGGTTTTCTACTGGTGTTTGCGGTAAATAGTGCTAAATCCTTTGAAGATATTGGTACATATCGCGAGCAAATCAAACGTGTCAAGGACGCCGAGGAGGTGCCAATGGTGCTTGTTGGCAATAAATGTGATCTGGCTTCGTGGAACGTGCAGAACGAGCAAGCAAGAGAGGTAAACGCAAGTCCGTTGTATTAACATACCATGAATATCACTATATACTGTGTATATCTACTTGCAGGTGGCCAAGCAATATGGCATTCCATATATTGAAACATCGGCCAAGACGCGCATGGGTGTCGATGATGCATTTTACACATTGGTGCGCGAAATACGCAAGGATAAGGATAACAAGGGACGAAAAGGACGTAAAACGAATAAGCCGAACCGTAGATTTAAATGTAAGATGCTCTAAATGGCCACGCTTAAGTTTTATTTTTTCATTAACGCCTGTCCGGTTTGTGTGTATGTGAGTGTGTGTTTGTTGTGTGTGCCATAAAAGTGCTGTAGCTTATATATTTTTTGTGGTATTGTCATTGCTGCTTTTCGTTTACGCACAAATACACATGCGCACACACACACCCACACAGACACAAGTGCGCGTGTTAGGTTGGTGCAATTGATGGGAGGATGAACAAAATTGTAATTAATTTAAGCAACTAAAGTTTTATTGTACGTTAAATCATTTTGTGTGTCGTTTTGAAAAGCTTTGTGGCGCCCTTTTAAGATTATTAATTATGCGTGTGTGCCGTACATGTATAAATAACTATGAATACTATTGTAACTGCCTTGGTTAAGCTGCTGCGACAGCGCATTTTTGATGACTATTTGCTTTCAGTAAGCACGAAACTAAAACTAACGCTGTATGTTATTTGTGTGTACCGTGCTTTTAACGATATTTGTATTTAATTAATTAATTTGTTTTCGGACCTATTTCTTTTGGTTTACTGATTGGCCTAACAGCCAGTGTTTTTACAATTAATAGCATTTTGGGAGCTGCATATATATTTTTTACCAATCACTCTTGATTTCGTTCCCTCTCTTGCAAACACACTCACACGCACAAACAGAATTCCATTAGAAATTTCCAAAAGAAAATTGAAATGAAAATTTAACGAGAAGCTCACTGTTCTTATATTTTTGTGGTGCTAACTTGAAAAAATCAACTGCAAACAACAGCACAAAATCTTGTATCAGTTTTTTAAAGAAATCGATTATATTTTTTTTTCTACTTATCTTACTGACCGAACGATCAGTTAACTAGCTTATGCAAAGCTTGTGCCTGAGAATAAAAAGCAAATAGAATTGTGTCTATTATATGTATGATTCGAATTACTTTACTACGAAATCAGTTTATTATTATAGAGCTTTGCATAAGCTAGATAAAATACGTATGGAGTAGAGTGCATTAAACAACAAGCATCCAATTACATATACATATTTAGTTTGCTTTAAGCTTTTTATACATACATAAATTAATATTTAATTTTTTTGTATTAATTTTTGCCATACAAAAAGGGAAGAAATAAATAAATTGTGTGTACTATTACATAGTTTGTTACTATTTTTTAATTTTGTCTACAGCACACAATTTCCCAAGGATAGTGGTATAACTGCTTAGCTCTAAGCAGTAATAATATAATATAAAATTAACATATTTCTCTCAATCACAAAATAGAATCATACAAATAACAATTGCTTTACATTTATTTTTAAATCATAATATACAATTAACATATTTCTCTCAATCACAAAAGAGAATCGTACAAATAACAATTGCTTTACATTTATTTTTAAATCATATTTGTAATAATTTATATGAACTTTAAACAGTAAGACATTTGGCCTTAAAGGCAGTTCGGATCTTGTCCAGTGTTTCCATTTCATTTTGTGAATAGTCCCATTTTGGATTATTGTATTCGTCAAACGGTGCATTTGTCATATAAAGAATTGAATCGGCAGGCGGATAATACTCTAATATTTTTGGTAGCAACAGCCGAGCCTCCACACGATACTCGGAAACCTTACCTCCAATTAACAATTCCAGGTTAGACTTCATTGCATCGAGAAAAGGAATGTCAATACTAAATATAAGGTACAATTAAATTAAAGGCATTCAAATATTATAAGATATAAGCTTTACCTCTTCTCCATACATTTGACAGTCAGTCGGTGTAGTATTAACTGACTAAAAAACATTGTCTGAAATTTAACAGTCATCATATGTAGCCAAAGCAACTCAAAAGCTGTTTGCAGCTGTTCCACTTTTAGGGAATCCCAATTCCTCATGCAATATATATAAGCAACAGATATGATTGACTCTTGTTGATTGGATTTCAGGCTTGTCAGCGTCTTCAGTTTCTCCATTAACAGTTCGAAAGATGGCAAAAGTTTTGCAACCAGACATTCGAAAAGGTACGTAATATTAGGTGGATTATTTGGGGCCACAAGAGCTGTCCAGAGCTTGTCAACCCAATATTCCGGAAAAGTTTCACCAAAGGATTCGTATTTAAAAAATGTTCTGACAATGCGCATTTGAATTCTGTGGTCTCTCGAACTTTCTTTAATTTCTTTTTTAGTAATTTGCTCATTGATGTTTAATAATTCATTAAACAGTATATGAACCGATTGCTCTTTTTCCATTCGACTGACATACGCAATATAATAGTTTCGTTTAATATGATCTTGTATATTCCAGGTGGATAGACTATTTAAATATGCATACGCGATGCTTTGCAAAAATATAAAAACAATTTATATTATAATACATAAATAGAAAATAATAGTAAACTTACCGCGAAACCCCGGTTGGAGTATCACAATAAAGTAACTCATTTATAAGCTTGGATACCGATACGGAATTTGTGCTATACAAAATCGATCCAAGCTCCCAACCGTCATTACTATTGGCAATCATTTCATCCAAAAGCTTTTCCGTTTTATATATGTCCAGATGCTTGCATACATATTTTAATATGTTTCCAGGGCTGCGAAAACATAAAATTCTTATCGGTTACAAATTTTTGTTTGATTCAACTAATTACATGACCCAGCGACTGGGATAATTCCTTAACAGTACTCGATAAGTTTCAATTACTTTCTCATCTTGCAGCCGTTTGTCATGCACACTCAATAGTTTTGACAAATGCGATAATGTTTTAAATGTGCCATTTTCCAAAACTTCAACTGGATCCAAATGAAACTCTTCGAGTTGACTCCAGTGATGCACATTCTTTTCAAGAAATAAATCGACACTTTGCTGCATTACAAAATATGTTTCCTCCTCCGTTTGGCAATTTAGCTTATTGATTAAATGTTTCTGCAACTCTTCTAGATTTGTACACTCGTTGATCAATTCAATATTTACATCGTACTCAATACGATAAAAATCTTTAGCTTCATCGTTGTAATGTAAAGAAAAGAAAGCAGGAAAACGCCACCATCCGTGCTGTGTTTTTGGCACATGTTCGAATTGTCTCAATAGTTCCATAAGTGGATCCCATAGATAATAGTTATCCCGCTTATCACAAAGGAAGTCGTAGAAGCTTTTCGTAAACAACCCGATTTCTTCGTTTATATTTTTGCAATTCTCGATTATTCTTGCTAGCAAATATAGTCCATAAGCGCAGACAATATCCTTGTCACTATACAGCGTCCTTATAAAGGTTACGAAATCGCCCACGGACAAACTCTCGATGCTGACCTGAAATGGATAACAGGATTAGATGAACAAGATTGTATTTACTTCAAAATTATTTAATTCGAATTCGCCCACCTTAAAGACCTCACAAAACCGATTACTGGCATTGTTGCGTAAATCCGAATTTTCTATATTTCGTACAAGTTCACTAATTTTCAGCAACAGCTTCTTAGTAATTTGTAACTTAATCCAAGTTTCTATGCAATCCAGCCAACGACACAGAGCAACTCCATGCCAGGCCACCTCTCCAAACGCCTTTAAGAACTGCTTCTGGACATTATCTGATAAATACTTCTTCATTTGTTGCTCTGGCAAATTGATACCCTCCATGTCGTGCAGATTCGGACTATTGGTAGCTTCAAGGAACTCTATCAGTAGACGGGCGCTACAGAGTTTAGCAATAGTAAAGTGATCCATAATAAAGACAAGGGTCGAGTGCAGCCTTGGAATATTACTGTCTTGCAACAAGCTAATGTAGAAAATTCGCATCCAATTTCCATCTGTATTATTTTCCTTTAGAAGCGATAACTGACCACCCAACGAAGCTGGATTTTGTGGGAAATGCTCAATTTTCAGGCATTCCATTACACTAATATATGAGAACAAATTCAGTTCGGTGTACTTGCTCTTGTCTAGTAACTTTTTCAGAAGCAGATGCCCAGATATACGTTCCTCATTTTCATTCGATTCTAGGAGTTTCTGTATGCGGCAGTACAGCTTTGAAGACGCAATATATTCGGCTCCCAAATCGCGCAAAATGTCGTCCATTAACTGCACTAATATTTGACCAGCATGTGGATGATTCTCGTTATTTAAAGCCCTTGAACAGAGCTTAGCCAATAGAAACTTGCCTTCATCTGGAAAGTGGCCTGTCCACATTTGTACACACAAAATGAATTCGGTTACCAATTGGGGATTGCGGATCTGCAATATCTCATCTTCTTCTGGATCAGGCATTATGACCGCAAACAACTTTGAAATCAATTTCGAAGCTAATTTCAGATTTTCACTGTTGTTTGTGTTAATTAAGCCGCAGACAAATTGAATAAGACGCTTCAAGTTTGGTTCCTTTGTAATATCCATAGAGTCAAGAAGAATATCTATTAACTCCATCGCCGTTTCAGATTCCAAAGAACCGGCGAACGCAAATGTTGACAAATCTGCTTTTAGTTTGACCAATTTTCTATAACTGTGAGCTTTTGAAATTAATTGGCAACACACGTTTTGTACTTGTTAATGTTAGGTGAACCAATCTAAGTATAAAAAATCGAAAATATTCACATTTTCTATTCTTATCATAATTTCGACATTATTTGTAATCAAAAAACAGCTGTGAAATACAATTCTTTTCCTATATTAAGAAGTCTGGCAACTTCATAAATCGTTCCGGCAGCATTCATAAGTTGGCACTGCCAACTAGCAAATAAGCCGGGACAGGCCATAAGATAATATAGGTAGATATAGTTTAAATAATGAACAACTGAAGGAATCTCTATATATATAACTGTTTGTACTGACTGCCAGTCAGGCTGACTGATTGGTGATCAACGTTCAGCCCAAACCGTAAGAGTTAGAAAACTGAAATTTTCACTGTAGTTACCTTGTGTGATGAAGGTGCACGTTAATACGGGGTTTCGGGATATTCCACCCGCAAAAGTGGAAAAATCGCGAAAAACCTTTTGCTTACCAGCCTATCGCCCTCAAACTCATTTTCAAAGATCTTTCTTCAAATCAATCTAATGTTTTTTGTTTTGGAAAATCCATCCCTTCTGGTGGAAATGGGGATCAAAGATTTGGTGGGAGACGTTACGCGCTCAATTTCATTTCCATTGATCTATGTATATTTCATTTGAAACTTGCTTCACATTTATCGCAAAATCAAAGCTTTCACGCTGGAAAGTGCGATTCCAAGATTTTTTCGGTGAAGTTTTGTCATCAAACTTAGTTTTAAAGCTCTACATAAGAACTTAATGAATACGTGTTTCAGCGATTTGGGAATTCTACCCACAACAGTGTTAAATTGGGGGTAAAACTTAACTCAGGTTTTTGGATTATTAACGGCTTCGAACCCATTTTCGAAGATCTGTATCAGAATTTATTTGACACGCCTTCGCAAAGTTCACCGCTATTGAATGGAAAATGCTGGTCTGTAATCGCAAGTTTTTTATTCGGCCTCAAAATTCTTAAAACAAGACTAACAAGGGCGGAAACCTCTGAATCCAACATTTAGTTCTATATTCGATGCACTTTAAACATATTTTTAAATAGAAGTGGCGACCAAGATGGTACAGGTAAATTTCAGTTTTTCACGGCCGTATACTTAGCAGAAAGCTAATATGTAACATTTTTTGCTCAAAACGTTCCATGGGCAAGGCCGTTCGCTAGTCATTTATAAACGACTGAACTCTATAAAAAAAAAAGGTGATCGGGAGCTCCCGACTAGGGAATACCCTGATCAGCTGATCAGCACCAATAACCGAGTCGATCTAGCCATGTCCGTCTGTCTGTCCGTCCGTCCGTCCGTACGTATGAACGCAAGGATCTCAGAATCTATAAGAGCTAGAGACTTGAAATTTTACATGTAGGTGCTCCAAGCAATCAATAAAAATCGATATTGATATCCTGTTTTTTGGGAAATTTTGGTAAATAATAAGAGCTAGAGTCACCAAACATGACATATAGCGTCTAGAATATATGTATGCATTTGATGTCGGAAGAAGAGGGTTCAGGGTATCCCCTAATCGGAAGCTCCCGACTAGAACCTCTTACTTGTTTTAAACTATTGTAATGCAAATTGTTGAACTTCATTACCCGCTGATAATACAACAGTTTCTGGTGTGGTAGGTGCGCCTAGTCGCACCCATTCCCGCGGCAATCCGGCATCCTGCCTGGCCGATTGTATAGCATGCTGCATGGCGAAGAGCACGCCCACAGCCAGACATAGAGCCGGTTCGCCCGTCGCCTTTGATCGTAGGAAACCAACGGGGTTGGGACTTTTTTGCAGTAGCTCAATGCGGAAATCAATTGGTATATCCTTGGCGCCTGGTGGATGATAGTTCCAGGTGCGATTCGTGAGAAGGCGACCCGTTTGTCGGTCGTAGAACAACAGCTCGGTTAGGTAGTAACCCAGACCCATGACGAAGGCTCCTTCAACCTGACCGACGTCAATGCTGGGACTGAGACTCTCGCCCGCATCCTCTAGTATGTCAACGCGGCGTATTAAATGGTTGCCAGTCAGTATGTCCAACTCCAGCTCGCTCAGACTCAAACCATATATACTGTAGTTACTTTGATCACCCATTTTGTAGGACTCGGTTGCAATCAAACTGATCGATTGGATGAAGGCCGACTCGACAACCTGCTGCCAGCTTGCCTTTGCTCCCAATCTGCGCTTGACCGGCTCCAGACGCTGATTGAGTGTGTCGCAGGCCTTGCGCACTGATATTCCAACCAGTTCACTGGCCATTGAGTTGGCTGTCACAAAAGAATTGGCTCCCGTGATTGTATTGCTGTTCTCCACACGCACACGCTCTAGCGGCACACCAAGCACAAAGGCAGCCACTTGGGCTACCTTAGTGTTTATGCCCTGACCTATCTCAATGCCACCGTGCGAGACGACCACCGAGCCATCCGCATGGTAAATAGCTACCGTCGTGGGGTAGCATAAGGCGATGCTCACATTTAAAGGAAACTCCATTAGTGCCAATCCCAAACCTCGTTTGCGCCATCGGTTTTGAGCGTTAAATAAGTTGATTTGCTCCCGACGTTTGCGGTACTCAGTGGAAGCCAGAAATCGAGGCAGTAGCTGTACCATTTTGCTGTCCGGTCGGAGATTTACAAGACGCACATCCGCTGGATCCAATTTACAGGCAAAGGCAATGTGCTCCAGTGCCGTCTCCGTCATGGCAATGCCTGCATGAGCAAAGGAGAATTAGCTTTTAGCTTAAGATTTTCCATCAACTTCGACTTACCCTCTGCTGTCCCTGGAGCCCGGCACCATGTTGAGCTGGGCGCATCCGTTTTTACAGCAGTACCCTTTGCCTTAAAGTTCAAGTTGGTCAGATTGTAGACATTTTTTAATGTTGGTAACGTGAGAAAGTCGACGACATTCTCGTTAAGGGTGCAGCCCGCATCCTCGTAGTAGTTGTTGCTGAGCATGCGTATGGAGCCATTAGCACGCGCCTGAAATTCGTAGTCGGAGCGACAAGCCCAGCGCTTTCCGTTTGTCTCCATCATGGATTCGATAGTTTGCACAAAACGTGCTGGCCGATTCAATTTGTGTGCAACAAGTGCACAGGCACATGCCACTTGGTTACCACGTGTAACCTTGGCGCCATAGGCTCCGCCGATGCGTCGCACCTGTAACTGGACTGCATTTGCATCCAATTTGAGCATTCGCGATATGCAGGTCTGGGTCACGTCCATCCATTGAGTGGCACTCCAAACCTGCAGTCCCTGTTCAACAGGTACCACCACCGTCGTTTGTGGCTCCATGGTGAAGTGGTATTGCGAATCAAGCTCAAGAATCCCACGTCCTAGCACATCACCAGGGTCGAGCGGTGGCTCGGAAAACTCCTCAGTTGGTGCTGAGCTTGTCACTAGACGATTTTCCACCTTGTCTGCCAGCACGGCATTCATGCTGGTATAGATCTTCACCTGGTTATTGGCATAAGTCACCCGCACCAATGTCGCCGCATATACGGCCACATCGTGGGTAAGCGCAGCGATTACTCCCAGCGGCTGATCATAGTACTGGACTCGTCCGGAGCAAAAGATCTCCTCCACTTCGACTGTCAGGAAACTGGAATTGTTGAAGTTATTGTCCCCTGGAATGTCCCTGACTCCATAGAAGGCAACCACGCCTTTGCACTGGAACGCCTCTGTTGCATCGATCAGTTCGATTGTGGCTCCCACCCGCTTGGCCGTCACAAAGGCGCAGTATACAGCATTAGAAGTGGTCAGTAGATCGTTTACGTACTTTGCCTCGCCGGAGCATTGAATGAGGCCTAACAAAAGCGAAGCAGTTCAATTTAGATAGTTAATTTCCAAAGCTATGATAAATACATACCTTCAAGCTTCTGCACTGCCTGTGTCACGGGATAGTTGTTGTGTATGGTCTCGAATGTTTGACTTCCCGATGAAAGGGAGCGCTCCAGCAAGTCTCCTCCGCCGCGAAAACGCTGCCGGACAAGATCCTCGGGCGCTGACCCAAGTAAAAACTTGTAAAAGAGCCCGCAGGCTAGTTTCTGGCGATACTCAGGCGATGCCTCAGGAGGCATTTCCACTGGGTGTAGGTTCATCAGCAGCTGCTCGAAGACTTGCGCGACTGTGGCGCTGTCGTACAGATCGCGACCCACCAGCAATTGCTCGGCATCTTGGGCGTGCACGTAATCAGGCAGAATGTTGCCAAAGCAAAGGCGAGCCGAGCCCACTATGCGATGCTGGGTATTCTGCCACTCGATAAGGAAACCAGCATTGACATAGGCATGTACGTTTTGAGCACGCGGCAGGATCTGTTCATAGAGAAAGCCGGGAGGATATGTGGAGGATCTATGCTCATCGAAAAGACTCACCTTATAGGAGTTGAACAAGTATTTCGGCTTGGGATAGGGTCTTAATATAAACGCGCCAATGACCAGTTTGGGCGTGGCATCCTGCAGATAAGCCAACAGGCTCATTACCCGTTGACTGCTGGCATTCTCATACACCAAGACCTGCGCATCTAGTGCTTCAAATGTGATGAATACATCCGAGGGAAACTCCGGATGCTGCTTCTTGATTGAGATGTTTCCCGCCAGAGTTCCGTTCTGAAATTTATTATATATTTTATCAACCCCAAGATACCGCATCCTATCTATGAACATAAGTGGTTTTCTTGTGATGGAATTAATTGGCTTGGAAGAGCATCAAGGCTTCGTCTACTCCCATTCATTTGATCATGAAAGTTTCATCTTAATTTTTAATCGTATTCATATAGGCCCTGAAACAAGTTTTAAACTGGATTGTGTCACACTCACATTTCGCACTGGCACATTCGCAATCAGGTTGAAGTGCGTCCACAACTGTGCACAATACTCGAAGCCGGCGCGTTGTTGCGCCTGTCGGAAGAGCTGCATGGCATCTGTGAGTGTCACGTTGGCACCCAGCAATAGGCGATTCGGCTCGATGCTGTGATGCTTGAGCTCCGGCACCATGTTGACATCCACAAAGTGCTGTATACTCTTGGATCGCCTGTAGACACCATGCGCTGTGTTTCCCGCTACCAGGATATACTCCTCTTCGTTAGGAACCTGAGCCAGTGCTTCGAAAAGCTCCGCGAGCGTCTTTGGCCAATACCAATGGCTGTTGTTCTGAGCTGGCAGCGACGGGCGAGAACAACTGCCACTGCAGCATTGACCGGTGCGTGGGCAGAGCAGCTCAAAGGAATCCTCAATGTCCACGCACTCCGCTGGAACGTCAATATTGCTGTCCACGGCAAATGATTTCATGGCATCGAGGATAGGCCGGTAGCCGGTGCAGCGACATATATTGCCACCAAATGCATCCTCTACCTCAGCCATGGTCACGTGCCCCCCTTGACTCTCCAGCAGCCCGTACATGTTCATCACGAATCCCGGCGTACAGAATCCGCATTGGGTGCCGTTAAGCTTAGCCAAACGCTTCTGTATGGGGTGATAGCCGCTGTTCTTATTGCCCAGCCCCTCGTTGGTAATAATGTCCACATCGTTGCAACTATTGAGCAGGGTCAAACACTTGAAAAGAAAACATAAGCATTCATAGCTTATTAATCGAGACCAGTCCACTTTTCTACTGAATATTTTCCTTCCTTCCACTTACTGAGTTGGCGGCACGGGAGCTTATTTCACCTGTGATAGGATGTCGGCGTCGAATGAGACAAATGCAGGAGCCACAGCCACCCTCCAGGCACATGTACTTAGTAGCCGTCAGATGGAGATGATCCCTGAGGAACGCGTTTAGGGTGATGTCTGCGGCGTAGTCCGCTGGCTGCACCTCGTACGGAAAGCCATTCACATTGAACTTGATGCTCATATTGAAGAAGTTGGAAGCCAAATACCGAGGCCATTGCTCAGCGCTGGTATTTAAAGCCCCTGCTGGAACCTGATTACTAGTAATTAGATTTGAGTTAAACGGGTTCCCAGAGCTGCACGCAAGCACTGCGCAAAACTTTCAGGAATAAATCAAATCGCTTTAATTTGCTTTTATTTTATCCCATGTTCTTACGGAGCCTAACGAAAGTCTTTCGTCTCGGGTTGCAGTAATTCATACATTTGGATGCTAAATGCTTAGTGCACAATTTTGTTTAGAAACTCGAAACTTTGGCGTAAGCCAAAAGCTATATTCTCTTTGCTGATAATGCATGTTTGTCTTTACAGCTAGAGTTAGGCATTGAAAATTGTATACCTTTCAATTAAATCAAAAATAATTCATTTATATCTGAAGTGCATGTATATATCATATGTATATGTGCATTACGGATTCGGTTCATTTTGTTTGGATTGAAATGTAGATAACGTTTGGAAACAGATGGTTATTTTGGGAAAACATAGGCGTCTCTACATCGTCTCTGATCACGTCTGCATGCATTTATCTTTGACATATGAAATTTCTGTATAAAACCGTCCTGAGAAGAATCTTCTTTACTTTATATACTTGCTTAGGATTAAAGGAATTAATTTGTATCTCACTTGATGCGTAATCAATTGTACAAAATTAAATAAGATATAAAATGACAACATAAAAACGTACTTTGCTTATCGGCACACCTAATAAGTAGACTGAATCAAGGAACAAATATAAAAAACAAATACAAATACAAATAACATGTTTAGTTTTTTTAAAGGCAGAAAATTTTTCGCCGATATAAGAAAAAAGTCGATAATTAGTCGATAGTCTAAGCAGGTGCAGAAGAACTTAACGAATTAATTTATCGAAACTAGCTCATCTCCTTTGGTTCACTTGTTCATTAATCGTCAGTCCGATTAATCCGATTTCCATACAACTAAGTATCACACATCTCCAATTTTTTCTCGCGGCAGTCGGCATTTGCCCATTTTATTGATTATTACATTTGTGTGGCTTTAAATTTGATTTAATTGCATAACAATTCAACTATTTTAATACAATCTTGCAGTAAAATAACTTTTAAGGTAAGTACGTCATATGCATTGAAAATGTTGCGAATGGCGTACAAGACGCGACGACGCCGCAAGTCGCCATCTTTTTTTCGCGATGACGCTGAAGATTGCGTTGCCGGAGTAACATTCAGACATTTGCAGGAGACGGAGACATGAACATGGACGCGAATGCTGTCGAAAATCGTGAAAAGGAACGTGACCGCCGAGGACGTGGTGCACGCGGTTCACGTTTCTCTGATGCCGACGGTAACAATGGCAACGCCGCTGGGGGTGGAGGAGGAGGCGGCGGCTCAAATATCGCACGCGACAGAAGCCGTGAAAGACGCAATTGCCGCGTTTATATATCGAACATTCCCTACGATTACCGCTGGCAAGACCTGAAAGATCTGTTTCGTCGCATTGTTGGCTCCATTGAGTATGTCCAACTGTTTCATGACGAGAGCGGCAAGGCACGTGGCTGCGGCATTGTCGAGTTCAAAGATCCAGAGAACGTGCAAAAGGCAATGGAGAAAATGAACCGCTATGAATTGAATGGACGTGAGCTGGTTGTCAAGGAAGACCATGGCGAGCAGCGTGATCAATACGGGCGGATTGTACGCGATGGTGCTGGCGGCGGAGGCGGTGGTGTTGGCGGCGGTGGAAATGGTGGCGGTCGCGACCATATGGACGATCGAGATCGAGGCTTTTCGCGACGTGACGATGACAGAATGTGAGTATCATTATTATATTCCACATACATATCTATTTATTTTCCGATAATCCAAGCAAATCGCCAAGGAAGAAATGTGTTCCAAGCACATAATTGCTAGTGTTATCAGAAAAAGTAAATATTGCTATCGAAATTTTTGGGGAAGGGTATTCAGTGTTTTTAACGAAGATTCATGTTAGGCATCATCATTTGTAATGGTAATGGCAACGATTGTATTTCAACTTTCAATACTCTTGTAAATTGAAGAAGTTCTGAAATGGGGTTTAATGATCTCTTTACTGAACTATGACACTTTGCTGATAACTTTACTTCGAAAAGAAAAGGGAAAACCTGTGCCTTGTTCGTTTACTCGCAGCGTTTACTGCCGCTTTTAGACTTAAATTGTTCAGCGGTCGGCAGTTTTTGTTCCTCAGCAAATGGAAAAACGAGAATTAAAGTGGCTTATAAATATGGCAATGTTTTTAGACAAGGCTTTTGTGTCATAGATCTGTATTCTGATAAAAAGGTTTGTAACGATTTGTAATTCCACCAAAAATCGAAAAGGAAAAATTCAAAAGTCTATTGATAAAATTTAGGATATATGTGTTCCATTTCTGTATTTCGGGGCTTGCCGTACATGTACATTTCTTAGCAAAAAGTTTCAGTGCTTTCGGTTGCAGCATTCATTTATGTCGTTGAAGTTGAAGCTATGATTAATTAATTACCTGATTATCCTGTGTTAAATTGGGCAGAATATTAACTCTGTCAAACATTGGCTATACTAGAATTTATGATTACAAAGAATTCATTTTTGAAAATTCAGTTTCTGCGAATTTTGCTATCGAATTAAATAAAAGCAGAATGCTTGTTAGATTTCATTTTTGCCTATAATTAAAATAACATAACAACGTCAAGGCGGTAATCTTAGATACGGCGTTCTGGATTTAATCCGGTTGTAGCTGAGATGCGTGCGCTCTTGGGATACGTGTATTTGTTGTGCTTTATCTCTTGCTCTTGCTCTTGTTATTTTTTCTCTCTGGATCTTTTGGCTTCTTTTTCTAGATCTGGGCGTAATAATTTTAACATGATGTCGAATGATTTTAATTCGTCGAATTACAATTTGTATGGGCTTTCTGCTTCGTTTTTGGAGAGTCTTGGCATAAGTGGACCTTTGCATAATAAGGTTTTTGTTGCTAATGTGAGTATAAGTATTATAAAAAATCCAATAACTATGTAAACTACTGTATTGAATCAAAAAACAAACCAATACCGATACCAAACCAAACCAACCAAACCATTACAATACATACACATATATTCTATATGATAGATATATGGTTTGTAGCTTGTGCATTCTTCGCCCAGTTGTTTTTAAGTCGTAAGTTGCGTTTATCTATCTAAGTATGTACAAATATTTTGTTTTCATCGTGGGCTCTGTTTCGTATTTATAACCCAACTATAGAAATAACATGATTTTTAGCTAAGATGCGAATACAATTTTACTCCATGCCCCTAGTGTATCATTTATTTTGCTCCCTTTGTATTTGACAATCTTCAAACACTATAATTAGGATTTTCTTTATTGATTTTTGATCTTCACACAGCTGATATAGATGGATACTTATAACAGTTCGATTGTAGTCCTTACTTTTTTTATAATCCGTTGACTATCTTATATCGGTCTCAAAGAGAATGCATTGACGGCGACTGTCCGAAATTTTTAAATTAAATGGAAATAGGGATTTTTGAAAATCGATCCTGTATGATGATTGATAGATATTGAAGATTATGATGATACCAGCTATGTATCTAGATTTTGGCGAATACCCAAGACTGTTCATCCTACTAAAAGGGTGCTAATCCAGTTTTATTTTCAATCGACGTTTACTAGAGAAAGGAGTATACGCTCCAAAACAATTGAAATCCGACGGGAAGTTCTTGAAGCTATTTTTTTTAATATTTAAATGAAGTGAAAATAAAAATGGTCCCAGCACTAATATATATATATTGAATTTTGGACTATCCACTGAATGGATTTCTTTATTATTGTTGCATTGTGTTGTAATGTATTGTAACTAGATTAATCTAGTTCTATTCTGATTTTGTTTGTCGGTCGAGAATCGAAACTTTTCCAAAGGGATGAGGAAACCTGCAGCTGGGTTATAAATATGAAACAGTCGTTTAACTGAGAGCCTGCTGCGTCGCTTTTGGATTAACTAGCTGGGCCAACGGCTTTTGATACCTGAGATTCTGCAGACTTTGTTTGCTCCTAGTTAAGGTGGCGGCCGGAGTCGACAACAGTTTGGACAATTCTTTTATCCATTCGTTACTGTTGTCCAAGGCAATGACCATTATTTTAATATCTAAAACTTTGTGGTGTTTCTGTCTCAACAGCTGGACTATAAGGTGGACAGTAAGAAGCTTAAGCAAGTCTTTAAGCTTGCCGGCAAGGTGCAAAGCGTGGATCTATCCTTGGATAAGGAGGGTCACAGTCGTGGCTTTGCTGTAGTCGAATATGATCATCCAGTGGAGGCCGTACAGGCAATTTCTATGTTGGATCGCCAGATGCTCTATGATCGTCGTATGACAGTTCGTTTGGATCGTATACCCGACAAGGGTGAGGGTCTTAAGCTACCGGAAGGATTGGGTGGTGTTGGCATTGGCCTAGGCCCCAACGGTGAGCCTCTAAAGGATGTCGCTCACAATCTGCCTAATGGTGGTAATCAGAACGCTTCCCAACTGCTCGGCAATGTGCAGAGCGCTCAGCAGCTATCCGCAGTGGCTGGCGGTCAGGTTGTCGGCGGCGGCAACTCCAATGCAAGCAATCTGCTGGGAAGCCTCAGTGGCGTCATGTTTGGCAATAATGCTGCTGTGCAGCCCTCTCCAGTGGCGCCGGTGCAAAAGCCCAGCATGGGCAACAATCCTGGAGGCGGCGGTGGCGGCATCAATCTAAATAACTTAAATCCCAGCAATTTGGCTGCTGTGGTTGGCAATTTGGGCAACCTAGGCGCCGCTCTGTCCAATCCGCTGCTCACCTCATCACTGAACACCCTCGGTCTTAATCTGGGCAATGCGGGCGGCAACGATGACGGACTAGTTTCTGCCAGCAATGTTGGTCTGTCCAATAACTACAGCAGCGGCGGCGGCGGCTATGGGGGTGCTGGAAACAACTACAACAGTGGCGGTGGTACGACCGGCAGCGGCGGTGGTGGCGTCTCCGGTGGCAATGTTGGCTACAACTCATACAACAGCAGCGCTGGCGGCGTCTCAAATGCCGGCAATAATCAGCTGGACGGCAATGACTATGGCAATTCTGGCAGTCAGTTGGACATTTATGGCGGCGGTGGTGGAAACGTTGGCGGTGGCGGTGGCAATGTTGGCGTTGGTGTCGGCGCTGGTAATGCCGGCGGCGGTGGTGCACGCAAATCTGATACTATTATCATCAAGAATGTGCCACTCAGCTGCACATGGCAGACACTTCGCGATAAATTCCGTGACGTCGGTGATGTCAAATTTGCCGAAATACGCGGCAACGATGTGGGTGTGGTGCGTTTCTTTAAGGAGCGTGATGCGGAGCTAGCCATAGGTATGAATCCAATTAACCTGGTCTTTCTTACAACTCTAACAATAAATTCTTATCCACAGCTCTCATGGATGGCTCGCGTCTGGATGGTCGTACCATCAAAGTAACTTACTTTTAAGTCTTATCCCTTAGATTTTTAATCGCAAAGGCCGTATGTCCACGCAATGAACCGTTGGAACTTCTAGACACGATCAACGGCTTACCTTAACCCACAGCAGGCAGCAGAGCAGCGGCTAGGCTGTCCGAACCATTTTAGTTTATAGTAACCCACAAACAAATAATTGTTTAATTTTTATACATACGTTTACATTACTAATAACAAAAAGTATCATAAAATAATTGACTTTCCAAAATACAGAAGACGCAATTCATGTAAGTTATAAGTGATTGAAGCCAATAAATATATAAACAATATTTAAAATGATATTGATATAGTATTAGGAGTCTGTTTTATTTATATAATAGATTTCTAAATCGTTTCGTTATAATAGTGATTGCATTTACGGTTTTCAAAAAATACGTTTCGGATCCAAGGAGATATCCCATACCTTACAACGGATAGAATTGATAAAGGTTGCTTATTTGTTAACTTGTCCTTTCGAATAATTATATCATGTAGCTGCCATAGCAAATATTTTTCAAATGAAAAGTATGGTTTTTGAAGATAATGTAAAATTAAACTCTATGCTAACATTTTGACAACAAATAGCCTTGGACAACGAACCGCACAAGTCAAATTATTAAAGCCCAAACTGCCGCAGAGTTACCAACTGGTAAAAATATCCATGCTTGGATGTCTACCAAGCCTGCGACTTGGCCCGTGGACTACAAATTGTTAGGCATATACATATATGCATATGTATATGTTAATCGTACATGTGCAAGGGGTTTTCGGCATTTGTTTAATAGAAAAAATATGGGAAACTTTTCGGTTGGGTAGAAACCATTAAAAATAAGTATATCTTTATTTTTTCGCAATACAAAGAAATATTAATCGAAACAAGAGCTACTTAAATACTCAAAATAAGTCCATATAAATGGAATTAATAATATTCTTTGAAGTTATTTACTCTTGCTTAACGGCTACACGCATTGTTGGTGGTTAATTGTGGCTTAAAAAAAAGAACAGCCCGAGCGTGGGTACTGAGCTGGGTTTTCTAGAGAACATTGGCGTCTATTTTGTTGCATCAGCTACGGCCGCTGGTGTTGTTTTAAAACGCTCCAGACGTGCCCGCGCTTTTTCAGCCCATTCACCTTGGCCCTTTGGATCGCTTGCTACAGTCGATGTGCCAACCGTAGCACCAAAGCGTTCCTTGCGCTTTTGCAACCGGTCGTCGGTAACGGTTTTTGGACTCTTTTCTGGCACGACACAACCAAAGCGTTCGGCACGTCTCTTTAAAGCCTCCTTTTGCTGTTCGTCCGTCTCCTTGTTGCCCTTGTTGGCCTTGATTGAAGCTGGAGATGATTTGTTAACCGTGGGCACAGCAGCTGCGGGTGCAGCAGCAGCTTTGGTATCGGGTGTAATGCCAAACTTCTTTGCACGCATTTCCAAGCGCTCCTGTATGCTCAGCTCGCTTAGCTTCTTGTCGGCTAATGCTGCCGCGTCTTTGCTTTTAGTTGCAGCACCACCCACCACAATTGGTTTGCGTTGCGTTTTTGTCGGTTTCTCCTCTAACTCCGAAGCTCCGGGTATGCTGTCCGTTGTTTCGGGTGCAGCATTTTCCTTCGATATCATTATTGTTGTTGTCGTCACCGCCGTCGCTAGCGGTTGCGAATTGTTGCGTTTTAGCACGATTTTCTTAGCTGGCAGCGACGCATTGGTTGCCTCCGATGGCGAATCTGACCCTGCTGCCGTATGTAAAGATAGCTCTGGTATTGTTGTCGCCGTAGGTGTGCTTACTGGGCTCTTTAGCAGCAAATCCTCGTGATCATCACCCAATAATTTGTGCTCGTCCTCGTCCGTCAAAGAGACATCGTCGTCAATAGCGTCGGCAATAGCACTGTCTTCCAGTGAAATGTCGCCTTCAAGTAACGCGGTTTGCAAGCGGTCCTGTAATTCATTTTTATTGCCGTTCAATGGCAACCCACGCAGCTTCAACTCGCGCTTTAAATCCGCAACCTGGATTGGGTATAGCGTGGGTTGTTTGTGTCTTGATTGGGTTATATTATGTATACTCACCTTCATCTTAGTAACATCGCTTTCAGGCATTTTATTCGTTTTTTTATATAAATTTGCGGCACAAACAAGAGTTTTTCTTTCTTGTATCGTATTGGTTATGCCTAGCAGTATGGCAACTCTCTACAAAAATTGTGCATACAATGAAATAGAAGTATAAGTGTTGTAAAGAAACATCGAAATTAACATTTACTCTAATTAACAGCAAGCGTAAAATAAATTCTGTTAAGCTGGAAGTAAGTGTTGAGATGTTGTATGCTCGCTACTGAGTGTTGCGAAACGCAATAAAAGCGCTAAGATTTAAATATTCAACTCTGTGATACATATTTGTATCGGGGATTACTTAATGAAAGCGCTAAGATTTAAATACTCAACTGTTTGATATATTTTCGGATATGCCCTTTTTTGTAATGTGTTTAAAAGTTCAAATGAAACATATAATATTTGTTTTTGTCACATCATCACTGTCACGCTTTTGCAGCTACTACTCACCCTTATACTGGCTATAGCTAGGGCGTACACATGATAAGATATAAAATATGAGTGCCGTACAGAAATAGCAAACACCGGCATACAGCACCACTCGTGCAATCCACACACACACAACAAACCCCGACCGGAAACGGGAAATGCATGCAATATTATCTCGTCGCCTGCTTCTTAGCCGTTCGCTGCGCGAGAGCAAATCTCATGCGTTGGAAATATAGATTGTGTCTGTTGGAAAATGAAAGTGCAGCTGACTAAAAAGGGGTGTGTGTGTATTTGTCTGGAGGATAGATGCCAGAGTTTTGACCTTGAACTGCACTCGACCAAGCTGCTTTGTTTTTAACTGACACCGACCTGCAACTGCACCTGCACTCTCTTAAACACACTTACACATACCCTCACTCACATACTGGCGCTTAACGCATAACGCACACATGTTGCTCATGTGGCGCATAAGTAGCTGCATCTAATTGGAATTGCAGCATACTTGCGTTTATTTATAATTTTTCCGGTCTTCTCTTTGTGGAGGCCACGGCCCACGCATTAACCTTTTGCCAGTCAGCATTTAAAAAGAGTTTGCCGCCCTTTAAGGCAGGTCCGCTGCAATGATAATTATAATGAATGCCTTATATGATGGCAAACGTGAATTCTATGTTGCGGCTGTTCCATTTACTAATTCTATGGCCGTATATGGGGGAGCTTTAATTACAGTTACAATGACTTAACGGACACGCAAACGGGCAGAAGTCTGCGGTCAAGTTGTTGATTAATTGGTCATGACAGTCGCGTTCACGTTCTGCTTATAGGATTACGCAATTACGGATTTAAGGCGTTTCTTGATGTTAATGTTATTCTTAATGTTAATTGTATGTTAAGCGTTTAATTACATTTGAGTTTAACATACATAACTATTTGTGTTGTACTTTTGTAACTTTCGTTAGTTGAATTTAAAATATTCTGGCATTTTGTTTGTGGGTCAGTCTCAAAGATATGCACAGTTAATAACAGTCTCACAAATAAAGCTGGCTTTAAATGATAAGCAAGGTCCTTTTCTATATATCATTCCCAAAAAGAAAGTATAAGAATGGTAAAAATTAAGTAATAATTTTTATATTTTTAAAAGAAATAGTGGACTATAATATAATTATTATAATAATACCAAATCTTTAATTTGTTCTGCTTGCGGTTTATATTAATAATGCAAAACTCAATTATATAATAAATGAGAAAAATAAGCTGTGACTAATAATTCGGTTAGTATAATATATACTTAGTGCCAGTGAGTAACAATGTTAATGTGTGCTTTTACATAATCACAAGAGCTGGCAAGTGGATTTCAATTGGCCTCATCTCATCTAATCATCTTATCATCTACTAAGAATAGATGCTCAATGAAAAAATATGTTTAGAAAACCTACTGTTATACTTAACCAAATGTATGGTATGATATTATTATTATTTTATTATTATTTTTCGGTTGCAGATTTGCCTATTTATTATCATTGCTTACAGGGTATACAATTTCATAATTTTAAATGCGTAAGATATGCATTTCCTAATTTATTGCAGTTTTAATCGATACTTTGCTTTACACTTAAATAAGCTTTCTAGGTGCTTTTCCTTAAATAACTGACCGCTATTGTTGAAATCATTTGCTTTGAGTGCAGCAGCAGCGCTCTGGCGCTCTCCGCGCCTTCTGGCCACTCAATATTATCCGTCAGATACTCGTTCTCAGTTGCGTGACGACTGCCGGAGCGATCGGTTGTGCCAGCTCTCTATAGTTAGCTGCTGTTTTTGTGTTGCGTCTCGTGCTGCGCGCTGTGTTTCCAAATACGCTCACTGATCAACAGACGTCATCGCCAGAGACGGACGTGTCGCTCGATTGATTTGTTGCAAAGAGCAAACAAAAAATAAATATATACAGATATATTAACAAAAACTAAGTGAGTGCGAGTGCGAATACGAGTACGTGTACGTGTATCTATAAGTACGTGCTGTGTGCGCTGCAGTTGCAATTGTACGCAACTTTAAGTTGTCCATAATGCCACAGCCAATACTCAATATAATATAATTAGTATTATATGTAGGCAGCTTTGCTGACCTTGTGCAACTGCGTATCTGAAACTGTGCACGCGTGTGTCTGTGTGTGTGTGTATCTTTTGTGTAAACATCTTTAACATAATCAGTAGAAAGCATCTTGGCAACTGTTTTGGCTTAAAGCAGCATCAAGCAACCTGTTCATTGCATTCTGAGCTAACGCGGCGGCTGCTTCTGGTTCTGTTGTAGTTGTTGTTGCTGCTGTTTTCTTTTTCGATTTTTGGTATCGTTTTCGTGATCACCTCTTTATCACCTGAGTCACTTTTGTATGGCGCTCACGTCACACGCTCACACATACGCCCGCCCAATGGCTCTGGAATGCCAACCAGCTTTTTGATTATAGCTGCTCTCTCGCTCTCCCACACACTCTCCGTCTTTGTCTAGCCCGCTCTCGCTGTTTATCTGCCAGTCTGGCTCTCTGGCTGCGCGCACTGTTTTAGGCCCGTTACCATTTTAAGTTAACAACAATTATATGGCTGCATAGCCATTAAAGGCCAACTCGCCTGTTCTGGCCTGGCCAAAGCGGCCGTGCTATTGTGTGTGTGTGTGCGTGCTACCACAGGAAATCTTCAAGTACGTGACAGCTGAACACCCACCCCAGCACATCACACCCAATACTGGCAGTGATCCCCATCAAATCAACAGCAAATCAGTTTAATACGACCTATGCCATAAAATATGACCTCAATTAATTAAACTAATTGACAGCGCGTGCGGCGTGAATCCCGTAACCAAATCGCAACAAATTTTCCTATATCATATCGAGAGTATATATATATATATATATATATATATATATATATATATATATAGTTGTTCGTCGGGCAGCTAACCAGCTTTATAGTTGCACTTATCGCACTTTCAAGTTGATTTCTTTTATATAGCAGATACGAATAATCGCACACACCTACACATATATGCATATATTTCTTATCTAATCTGTTCATTAACTACGAAAACACATGCGTGAAATCATAAAACAAAATACATATGCACATGTACACATATAAACAGCGAAAAAGAATAGCAAAACTTCTACCTGGTTGCCATACGCCATATATATGTAAGAACAACTGTACTCGCTCTTTATATATAGTTGGAAATCTAACAAAGATTTGGTGTCGTGCAGGTTGTTCAATGTGGAAATAAGTACTTTGATCTTAAAAATTGGGATTTTTAAATAAATCATTTTTGATCATTTCATCAGCGTTTCATTAGTAATTCAATTAGCTAATTCCAATCCTAAGATATCTATATGAGCTGTGTTTACATTTTGCTATGAACCGATCTTCGAACCAAACTGTTTAAAACCATGAATCGAACCGGCGACCTTTCTTTGGTTTTTGCAGCTATTACGCCTGCTTGAAAAGTTTTTTTTTTAAATATATATTTATAACTAAAAACGAGGCGAAACAGCTGCAACTCATAATTTAGCTTTGACTATAATTAGTATATAAATCAGAGTACGCTCCATTGCACACCCATGACTAGCACATATTTAAAAGGCTGTATGGAGAAATTCTTATTGTAGTGACAGCATCCATAGCTGCATATGAGCAATTGTATAGTATGATGCACGATGCGATTACAAAGCGCTGATAAAGGCACAAAGGAGTGGGCTGTAGAAGCTGTGAAGAGTGTCTCACTTATAAGGCATGCACTATACATACATATATGAATTATGTAGATTAAAGTATATATAAATATATATATGTGTGTTCAATGAAGTCGATTAAGCTAAGAAGCATTGCAAAGAACGATCCATAAATTCGTATAAAGCAATTTTCGAGTGCTTTAGTTGGAGGGAAAGAGTTGGCCAGCGGGAGTGAGTGTGTGTGTGTGAGAGCGAGAGAGAGAGAGAGGGAGAAAGAGAGTGCAACAAAGGCATTGGGAAAGAGTGTGAATGTGGCAAGTGTTCCAAGAATATAACGACAACAACAGTAGCAACAACAACAATAATAATAAAGGCGTAACTTGATATGTAAAGTTTACAAGAGGCCAACGCAGCCGCAGCCCCAACTCCAGTCCCTGCCCCGCGTCGATAACAAAAAAGTCGTTTTCAGTACAGTATATTTCACATTTTATGAAAGCGTAATTATGTTTAAATAATTTATTATGTGTATTAATTACAATGCGAGCACTTCTCGGGCCTTACACTTTCGATGTCTGCTTTTGATAGTCCATTTCCGTTAATCATATCACACACACATGCATAATACTCTATAGTTGATCTAGACCGAAGGCAATTACACTTTGCCAATCTTTAATGCAAATCTTGATAATATTGCTGAGTTAAGCAACAATTTTACATCGCGTTGCAGAAGAGGTAGCCGCATTGAAATAGCAACAATTTGCTTTCTTTTCCCCCCGCCCTTTTTTTTTGCAAATTCTAAACAAACTTAAACGCCCGCCAGTGGAGCAGTCAGCCATTAAGTAGCATTAACAACAACAACAACAACTAAAACCCGAACCAGAACAAAAATAAATAAACAACACTTGCGTTTGTTTTGCATTTAATTGCGTTTTTTTTCTTGTTTCTTGTTCGACGCTTCTTTTAAATTATTATAAACAAACCAAATGTGGGCGCTGTTTTAGTGACTAGCGTGCAAATAAATTACACTGTGTATTGTACACCTGCAAGTGTGTATTGTGCACCTGAACATATGTACATATTATACAAGGTCTGTTGCTATTTATACATATTGGCAGCTGATTAAGCAATTTTGCCAAAAGTTCTGAATGATCAGATGTTGCAGAGCACACCTGAGTAGAAAATCCAAAAGCTGTAATCGAACAGTTTTTGAATGAGCAATTAAATGGATTAACAAGTGGCAACAAGTGCAATTTCTCTGAGATGTAATTGAATGAATCATACACACATGAATATGTACAAATACATATATAATTCTTGGCACAAATCCAGCATTTAACCATTGTGGAAAACTCAGGTTGTGGCCAATCTGGGTAACATAGGAGTAGGCAGCAATTTAGTAATTTATAAGCATTAGAGTTAGTAAAGATTCAAACAGACTTATGATTATTTGAATCTCAATTCATTAGCAAAGAAATTAATGTAATCAATCTACTTGTAAAACATAAAATTCCAAATGGCAATCACTTTTTTGCTGTACAGCACAAAAAGCACATGTATGATAAAAGAAAAAAAAAAGAAATAATACAAATAAAAAAACGGAACTACAAAGTGAGCACTTAACCCCAGTTGGGTTGCCCATGCAGCAATTAGCTTTAATTGTGTGGGGAGGCATGGCCATGGCAGCGAACCCAGAGAGATCAGCTGTTGGCGCCAAGAAGCCACATCAAGAGTGCGGCTGCAGTTAAAGATCAGGCAACTGCATATCTACAAGTACAAATGTGTTTGCATTGTGGCATGCCACAAGCCGAAAGTTCAAATGAAAATGCTTATTTCGAACGGTAAACGATGATCGACCTTTATTAATTCATATGTCAATGTAACCGGTTTTCTGTTTGTAACTGCAGCCCGTTGTATTATAATGTATTATGTGGGTTGACCTGTTGGCAGCCTTTGGATGAGTCACTAGAATCAGATCGTCGTCATCTAGCTACACCCGCTCTTAGATTTGTTCATTTCGCACTCAATCAGGTTGTTTATAATTGTAATAAGAGGTTGCCCCAGCCAATTGACTGACAATCTTATGGCGTGAGTCATATTTTAAGTTATCTGTTTCCCAGAATTCGTATGAGTTTTCTGCGTATTCGAGGAATGAAAGAGATTCGGACTCTAACTGTAACTTAATGCAAATTGAGCATTTGTGTGTTTAACATTGTTTAACACTGGACATGAGATGCTGTAGGGAAATCTAGTTCATGTTTTGGGTCAACAACTCGTTTGGTTGACGCTGACTGAAAACCAGTTTTAATTAAAAAAGAAACATTTATGAAACGAAATTTTGTTTGGCTGGTGAAAGTGCATAAGTTTTTCAAACGTTTTCATGTTATATAAGGCGTAAACAACAACAGGCCCCAAAAATGCCTAATGAATTTCACAGAATCGAATCAATTGTAGCATTGTAAAGTTTTTTATGCGGGTTTTATTTAACTTTTAATTGAATTGTTAATGCCCTCGTCTGCTGTTTTGCTCACACACAAGTGCTTGTACAATGTGCAATTTCATTTAAAAATGAAAATTGTTAAGCTTTTGCTGATTAGATTAATTATTTGAAGTTCATGACTTAACAGCGCGCTGTTGATAACAGCCGCTGCATAAAAATGTAACGGTTAAGTCTGATGTTAAGTTGCCTGGCCTGCGAAATTGAAGAAAATGCACCCACACACACACATACACACACAGTAGATTTCCGGTCGCAGTGAGCTGTGGGTGTGGCAAGATAAACAACGCATGTCGCTTCAACATATGCCACCAAATGGTGCAAGGCAGCGGCGCACTAAGATGTCACATACACACATATAATCATATTAATGCGACGATTCCGCTTTCTTAATATTTTCAGTTGGTTTGCACAATGTCGAAAAGTCTGCGCCCTCTTAAAATAACCATCGTGGGCGATGGCATGGTGGGTAAGACCTGCCTCCTGATAACCTACACACAAAACGAATTTCCCGAGGAGTACATACCGACTGTGTTCGATAATCATGCCTGCAACATAACAGTCGATGATAATGAATACAATTTAACACTATGGGACACGGCCGGTCAGGAGGATTACGAAAGGCTGCGCCCATTGAGTTATCCAAATGTGGGTATTTCTACAGGCATAATGTTTGTCTGTTCTTATCTAATCTTTTTTCTTTTTGCCACAGACGAACTGCTTCCTGTTATGCTATTCCATCAGCAGTCGCACCTCGTTCGAGAACATCAAGAGTAAATGGTGGCCAGAAATTCGTCACTTTGGCGCCAATGTGCCTGTGGTTCTGGTTGGCACTAAGCTGGATTTGCGTATACCGAATTCAGAAAAATTTGTAACCACACAGGAGGGCCGACGATTGCGCAAGGAGATACATGCGCATCAATTGGTCGAGTGTTCAGCGAAGAAGAAGATCAATTTACCGCAGGTGTTCGAAGAGGCGGTGCGAGCGGTGGAGAAGAAACCAGGAAAGAAGCCGCAAACGTGCAAAATACTTTAATTAAGTCCTATGCCTAATGTTAAATATTGTTATACGTAATTGTATTATGTAATTGTCTAATTCGCGAGCATTCGATTCGCCTGTTTCGCAGTGTGTGTAGGAAAATGTAACGTTAAGCTCTTATTTTAAGTTGTAGTTGTCTGAAAACTATTTTCGTATGCGACCAAAGTGCATTTTTTTTATGTAAAAATCAAAACAAATTTAACTGCAAAATTGTTTGAATAGAAATGTGTATTATATATTTTCAATAAAAACTAGTCATTAAAAAAAGTAGTTTTCAAATTAATTGGTTAGCCAAATACATAATAAACGATTGATTTGCGCGGTTCAAATTTGGTAATTTGGAAAAGTGCTGCCAACTCGTTACAAAAGCGATGTAATGTATATTCTAGTATTTATATTTTTGTATTTTCTCATTAAGCTCCTGTGGTCACACTGACATTTAGCAAACAGCTCTGAAAAACAAGAATAAAATAAACAATGAGCAGTGAAAAGGCTGAAAAAGCCAAAGTCAGCGCACAAATCAAACATGTGCCAAAGGATGCACAAGTTATTATGTCCATACTTAAGGAACTCAACATTCAGGAGTACGAGCCGCGCGTCGTCAACCAAATGCTCGAATTTACATTTCGTAAGTGCCGCAGCTACAACTCGCAACTTTGTTTTTAAATGAAAGTCATTTTGGTTTTACCTCAGGCTATGTGACCTGCATACTGGATGACGCCAAGGTATATGCGAATCACGCGCGTAAGAAAACCATCGATCTGGATGATGTGCGCCTTGCCACTGAGATGACCCTAGACAAGAGCTTCACGGGGCCGCCATCACGTCATGTGCTGGCCAAAATGGCCGAACTGCGTAATGCGATGCCACTGCCGCCCGTCAAGCCGCATTGCGGCCTGCGCCTGCCTCCCGATCGCTACTGTCTGACCGGTGTCAACTACAAGCTGCGCGCAACAAATCAACCCAAAAAGATGACCAAATCCGCGCTAGAGGGACGCGCTGTAAAAACGGTCGTGAAGCCGGTGTCCAGCGCCAATGGACCCAAGCGCGCACATTCAATTGTGTCCAAACAACAGGTGGTTACCATACCCAAACCAGTCATCAAATTCACAACCGCAACGAAAACGGTCACCGCAATGGAGGTCAAGAGCGAGCCTAACGCCAGTGACATGAAAATGGAGGTGGACAGCGATGCGGCAGCCGTTGGCAGCATTGGTGGCAGTAACGTGGCTGTAAAGCGGGAACGCGAGGAGGAGGAATTTGAATTTACAGCGAACTGAGAACATATATGTCTAAATATACATTAAGCATATATTTGTAAATTTAAAGGATCTGTTCGGATAATACGTTTCGGCAGTTCTACAACTTTTCTATATTGTTCAATTTCAATATGACTATAAAAGTAGAGCTTATTAGCTAACGTGTATCTATATATATATTCAATTGTTTGTCTCTTTGACAGACTGACTGGAATCGAAAGAACATTCGAATATCTGACTACAATTGAATATACTTTCTATGGTCAACAGACGGCGCTACTAAAAATTACTTCAGATTGTTTTAGTAGTCTATACTTTACTGCGTAATAATTTAGTATTTTCTAAAATACAATTGCACACTTTTCTGCCGCTTCGAAAAGTAGTTGACTCCAATGTTGAAAAGAACTTAATTCATTGTTTGATCTTCGAAAGGCCAATGCGGACGCTTGAACCTCTATATTATAAATATATATACAAATATTATAATATATTTTAAGGGAACGGCGACTTCTGCCTGTTACAGGGTATACAAATATGTTTTAAATGTGTATCAGCGTTAAAGTTTTTATTAAACAATAATTTTAATGGGTAAAAAGTAATTTAACAAATTGTGAACTTAAGGTTTCCCCGATATAAAAAACAGTCTATCGGAAATATGCCCGGTTCTTTCTAGGGGATGCTTTGCTTCTGAGAATGTTTGAATGGAAAAGATCATGTGAGTAAAGTTCGGACTTCATTTGAGCGCTAGAATGATGGTACAGCCTAGATCCATGATTTGCAAATATTCAGAGCCACCATCCTGAAGCCGATAGCAGCATTCCTGAAAAATACTAAGGATTAGCTAAGCCAATACACAGGGCCACAGCGTTGAACTTACGCCCAGCTTGTCGCATATGATGGCCTTCTGTTTGTCAGTTAGGGAGCCGCAGCGGACAATGAACTCCACGAACTGATCCATCATCTGGCCAACGCTGTATGCCGAGTAGCCAATTTCACGTACAAAATGCTCCAAACGCTCGTAGTTACCCGAGCGACAGACCTCAAGATAATCTTCCAGATAATGCTCCGGTATGATGCCAGACATCTCGAGCAGATCGTCCGTATTAATGGTGTGCTCGGCGCCTTTGAGGCGATAGCAGGATTGCAATGTGGTGATGGCGCGTCGCATATCTCCACCGGATATCCTTACAATGGACTTGTAAGCATCAGGATCAATGCGCACGCCCTCCAGCTCGCAGATGTGCTGCAATCGCGCAATGATCTGTGTCTCGCCCAGGGCTTTGAAGCGAAACTTGGAGCAGCGCGACGTTATGGGCACAATAATGCGCGACACATAATTGCAGATGAGACAGAAACGCGTGCTGCGACTCTCCTTCTCCATAGTGCGACGCAGTGCCGCTTGAGCTGCATGGGTCATGGAGTCCGCTTCGTCCAAGACAATAATCTTAAAGGGCGGACACGAACGGCCATCGGGACGCACATTACTTGCCGTAAGCTGTGCGAAATTCTTGATCTTAGTGCGCACCACATTGATACCACGTTCGTCGGAGGCATTCAGCTCTAGTATGCGATCGCGGTACATGTCGCCAAAGATTTGACGTGCCGCCGCAAGAATGGTGCTAGTTTTGCCAGTGCCGGGCGGGCCATAGAGGAGCATATTGGGCAAATCGGCGCCCTCGACGCATTTGCGTAGCACGGCCACCACCTCCGATTGCTCAACTACATCATCCACGCTTCTTGGGCGACTATGCGGCAAAATTAATGCAAAATTGACAACAGTTGTAATGTGCTCGAGTTTTAAATGCCACTTACTATTTTTCCACCCATGGTGCGGGGGGTTTGCGGCGTTCAGCGGGTGTATTGGCTGCCTGCTTGTCTGTGTTGCTGTTGCCAGAGCTGGATTTGCCAGTTTTTAAAAACGCCTGCATTTTGTTTGGGAAAACAACTTTAAAATTCGCAACAAAAATTTGGCGCGAATGGAACAGCTGAGTCTCATGTTAACTCAAAATGGCAATAACAGAATTCGCAGTCATGTTAAATTGCAACAGTGCTGGCAAACGAACGAAATGAACTAGTTCTATTGAAAGCCTCTCAATCAGTCAGCAAGTGTTGGCAATCGTTGTTGATGATGATGTGGAATTTACAAATTGAGTTGTTGCTTCAGTTAGTTTAATTATTTAAATAAAAACGCAGTACCATGGACATAACGCAGCATTTTAAGGCCAGCGTTATGACGGTGCGACTGCAACGCAAGACTGAGCTGGCGGCCGCCAAAGCCAAAGCACAGGACAGGCAACAACGTTCGGGCGCCATCAGCACAAAGCCCACCGCTGGCAACAATGACTTTGCCAAACAGGCAAAGGATGTTTGCAACAAGATAACAACGCTTCGGAATGTGCTTATCGAGAATCGCACGGCCTATATGCGCATTGGCCAGCACCTAAAGAGCGCCACCCACATGACGGACGCCGAGCGCGATTTGATTGATCGCGAATCGGAGAAGTTCGTGACATACTACACACAGCATCTGGCTAAGATGCGCAGCGACTGGAAGAGCGCTAAACGAAAGCCACAGGAGCGTCAGCACATCGAAGCAGTGCTCGATTTGCTGGTCAGCTATCTGCACAGCGTGGAGCAGATATACCTGGATCAAAAAAAATATCGCGTACAGCACGAGCTAGAGACATACAGGTTGCTAAAACTGGCGGCGGATAAGAAGAAGATACCAGTGCGTCCAGCCGGCGTTAACAGCGGCAAGCTGACTAAGCGTCAACTGAGCAATGACAGCGTTGACAGCAACGAGGAGCTGTCGCCTGTGGCAGCAGCAGACGAGGATAACGATTGGAACAACGACAGCTGGGCTGAGTGGGATGACGAGCAGGAAGAGTCGCAGTTGGACAGCAGCTCGACCACAGACAATCAGCATCAGCCGCGCACGCGCAAACGCAGCCGGCCTGCCGGGATAAGTAGCGCTGACTCCTCGGCGAAAGTTGCGCTGGACGAGGACATTCAGAAGACTGCGCAGCAGCAAGAGAACGACGGAGAGGATGTGTTAAGCGCCGAGGATATGCAGCTGTTCGAGGCGGAAAATGTGCATATATACAATCTGCTGCAGGGCGTCTCCGAGGAGGTCGAACAAATTGAAAAGAACGTTGTGGACATAGCACAGCTGCAGGACATATTTACAGAGAAGGTGAGCAAAAACCAATCCTTAAGCTGCACGCTCTTTGACCCGATTTATGTTTATTTAACAGGTTGCTTTGCAACAACACAATATCGAGCGCATTGTGAGCGCCGTGGTGGGCACCACGGAGAACGTCAAGGATGCCAACGAGCAGATACGTCAGGCGACGCAGCGCAACGCCGGTTTGCGTGTCTGGTCCTTATTCTTTTTGCTGGTCATGTCTTTCTCCTTACTTTTTCTTGACTGGTACTATGATTGAAATTGAAAAATTGTTTCGTGTAAAAAATTAATAAGAAAATGTGAAAGTGAAAAACTCATAATTGTTTTTGTTATCGCACTCTAAAACATAACTTGTTTATTACGTAATTTATATTTAAAAATAAAAAATTAGAAACAATGCTGTTCGTGTAGTAGTTCTTGTTGTCACTAGCGCTATTTCGTTTTATAACTAAAGGTTACAAATTAAGTGAGCTCAGCCTTAACTAAATTTTAAATGATATTTGAGTTAATTAATCGTTTGTGTTTCACAATTTGTTCAAATGGAACTCAGAGAGCCGAACATTTACCAATTGAAAATAAAGTACAATAATAATAGGCGTCTTAAAAACTAAATTAAGTAGAGTTCAATCAATGTCATCAGTTCCATTATTTAAAAAATGCGTTACGAAAGTAATTTTCCCCATGGCAGAGTGTCTGATTCAATTCTTCAGCTAAATAGTTAGGTTGTCTGTAACCAAGACTTGTCTTAAATTAGTGTAATATTTAAAACTGTGCCGCATGTTAGTTTTATCTAGTTTGCACCTGAAATGAGGTTCCATAATAAAAAGTATATGCAAACCTTTAGTTCACAATTTGTTTTTGCAGTACTTCGTAGTACCCATATATAGCATTCATTCAATGAATATCCCCCATTTTTTGATATTAGATCTAGGCTTAAGTGTAACTAAGTATTTTTGTGTGTGGTGGCTTACAACTAGTTGTGTGCATTGAATGCAGTCTGCAACAGTTTTGCTGTTGTGCGGGGTTTTCTCTCTCTGTGTGTATTTAAAAATGGAAGCCATCGCTAGACATAGCAATAGTAATAGGAAGGTTCCGTTCCTGGTTCCTGATAAACCAAATAATAAAGCTGCGACAATCGTTATGGCGTATTCACAATCATATCCAACGATGGCGCTACACTGCTCTCCACCAGCTCCACAGAGCCGGGGCAATCCTCGATGCTGCCGCCGTTGCCATTGCAACTGCTAAGAGGCGTCAATGGCAGCGATTCCTCGGTAGTTGCTGGCGTCGAAGGATTCTCGATTTTGCTGCTCACGCTGCTGGGCATCTTATCGTTGAGGAATACGCCCAGCGGCAGGTGGGTATTTATATGTGCTGCACATGAAAGCAAATTCAGTTAATTAATGTTTTTTCCATTTTTAATATTATGACTAAAATCTACTTAATGTCTAAAGCTGGTGCAGGTGTTATGCGTATCATCAGGCAATCGAGCTTAAATATTAAATAACTAAATATATATATATTTATATATAATAGATTTAAACTAATTAGAACTAGCCACTACATTTGGAGACTACTTAGTTTAGGTTTTATTTCAGTGCCTAGTAGCTTTTGGCTAAAACTTTACCACGATGACTCGAAAAATGTAGAAACGTGCGTGGACAGTAATCGCATTTGTAAAATAGTTCCCTGTTGTGGGTGCGCCGATGTTTGCGCAATTCTTTGATATAGGCGAATGCCTCGCCGCATTCGTCGCACTCGAAGCCGCTTTCTGTAAGAAAATCAATTGGGGGTTCCGTTTGTAGCTAAGCGGCAGTTAGATTCTTAACATGTGGTCAACAGCGTGAGTTGACAAAGTGGTTGGTACAGTGCTGTGTCTGGAGGAGCTTTGAAACACATTTGGAGACATTTGTTACCACAAAATAGTTTAACAGCGATTTAACATATGTTCTAATGTTGCTAACAGCCAGTTAACAGCAAGTGCAGGTGAGCCCAAAAGGAATTCAGTTTGAAAGGGTGTATATTGGTTTTTGATTTGATATCTAGCGCACCATGTGGGATGTAAAGGGGATAACAACACGAATATTTTGAATCACACGGTTTTTTCAAAGTTATCCAACAGCGGGTAACACATTGTCTAAAGAATACTAACAAGTCTACTAAGTTAACCGTGAGTGCAGCGAATTCATAATCCAAAGGAGGCGTGCAAACTGGTTTTGAACAAATTAGGTTCTCGAACGCTAACGTCAAAACAATCTGACACATCAACACTAACTACGTGAATATTTCTTTTTAAAAACTACAATTATAGTGTGTTCCTCGCTTATTAGTTTTGTCTCTATGTATCATTATTAATTTCTGTTTGTTTATATACACAAAACCCACTAATAATAATGCAAATACAAGCTAAATATATTTGCATACAATACTTAACTCTTGGTACTACCCGATTATCATATTATAGTGCATGTACCTCATTTATGCTGATACCCAACTCAACGTGATCGTTAATTTAAATTGATTGACAGTGGAAATTAAAGCGATTTAACTCGCGATGATTTACAATACTTAGTTTTTTGATAAGCTTTAAGAAGATGTAAATTAATAAAGTTCTGGTTCTGGATAAACTATATGATCTTGTATAGGGTGCAATTAGGGCAGTATTAGGGTTAGCTTTAAGAAAAATTTCTGTCAAGCTGTGCGCTGCGTGAATTGCTCGATTATGCCAACAAAAAAAAAATGCCTGAGAAGGAGTTAACTATCTGTTGTTATCGTAACACTTGAGTAAAAAAAAGAATTCGTTAATGAATTTTTACTATTATAATCGAATCTCCAAAAAGCTGGATTTAATTTTAAAATGCTTTTTGGCATAGTACAATTTTACCAAAATAATTTGTTCTAATGCATGGCCAGTAAGTGCTAAAAGCCTAAGAGCAAAGCGTTTACAAATGAGACGCAAAGAAGAATTGAATAATATGCGCTCAAGAGCGTAAGAATAGAACTCACATATTTATACTTTAAAGACAATTACAATGGCAACAACAAAATTATAGGCTATATATTATATTAAGAGTAGGCGCTTTGCATGGCATTCACAATAAATAAAAGTATCACTGAGCTCATATTTCCTTTTTACCTTTCGAGGAAACAATCACGGTAGTGTAAACTGTTAGCATAAAAAAAAGGATGATGGTGTTTATTTTGGGTTAAGATTAGTAAACAAAATAAAGAGCTTTTGGTTCTAGTAATACTACAATTTAATCAAATTTATGTTTATGTAACTAAGTATGAATATGTATATGTATGTATGAATGTGTCTACAATGTAAATGTACTTTATAGTAAAGCTTAGCTAGCATCCAACCGGCACCCGGTTAGCCACCGCATCCGCATGCGTGCGAGCACCCAAAAACTTACCACCGTGAAACTTAATGTGCGTCTTCAAGGCGCTCTCCGTACCAAATTGTTTACCACACTCATCGCAGGTATGCGGTTTGATCAGCTCATGGACGGTGAACTTGTGCATTGCCAGCTGTTTGAATTCCGGAAAACGTACCCAACACTCATTGCACTCATACGGACGACCCTTGGGCTCATGGGATTTCATATGATTATCCATGTCGGTCCGTTTCCGATAGCCACGCTTGCAAATGCCGCACACCCAGGGCATGGAAGTCTGCGAATCATGGGCCAGCTGCTGGTGCTTGCGAAGTGCTATGATATTGGTGAAACGCTTCTCGCAGATCACGCACTGATGGCTGCTGCTCAGTTTGCCCAGCTGCAGCGTTACGCTCGTCTCCATTGTCGACGAGGACGGCGACGAGGAGGGCGACGGCGATGCGGCTGTGGTTAGCATTGTTGGTGCTGCAGCTGCTGCCGTTGGTGCTGCGACTGGTGTTGTTGCTCCTGTCGTGCAGTTGGCCACGCAGCGCTTGCGAAACTGCCGCAAGGTTGCCGTCGTCGAGTCCGGCTCCGATTGCTCAGGCGAGGGCAACGTTATGTGCGGCGTTGGTTGCGGCGACGGCACCGATGCAATTGTCGACGGCGGCGTCAGCACCGTCGGTGGTGGCTGCAAGTTCGTCAGCTCCTCGTACGTCGACTGGCCGCTGCCATGACTGTGTCCACTAGAGCCTGGAAACAGATTAAATTAATTAAAAAATAATACATTAATAAAGGGTAAGCACTAGGGGATTATATTTTTTAAAAGAAATTTAGATACTTACAGTCCTCGCAGTCCGGGCAGCAGAGTATGCGCGTTCTGCGTGGCTGTGGCAGGCTTTTTTCAAGATCCAAAGCTACGCATGCGGAGGCAAATACAGTTAAAAGAGAGGACAAACAAAGAGAGGAGGAGAGAGAAAGAGGCATAGAGCATAAGCATTAGTAATAGCTGATGGAACTGGGTAATAACTAATTATTTTAACAAACATAAGGCGACAGTTTAATAAATTAACTTATTTACGAAGCAACAGTATAAGGTAATGTTTCTTCTAACAGAACGCCTTTTGCTCTTCATTAAAAAAATATTAATTATAATCATCTAATCTAATCATACATAATAGAAACTAATTCGTAGAAAAAAGTTTCTCATAGTACAATATTCTCTACACAAAAATGTAACATAACAAGAATGTTATTTAATTTAGTTTATTTAAGAAAATAATAAGGAGTTGTGAAATTAATGAAATCAGAAGGTCAACAAAAAGAAGCAAAGTTTATATCAACTAATTTAATTAATGCAAAAAATAGTTCAAGAAAATAAGACAAATTCATTTTCTTTTCGATTCTAAGGAACTACTTTTAGATAAATAAAGAGGTTCTAGTTTATTTTATTTAATACTACAATTTTTTGAACAAATGGGACTGGTATATTTTACTTTTATGAACCAAAACTAAAACTAGTTTACAGTTCACAGGCCCAAAATAATTGGGTCGTACAGCTAGAGCTACCTAAACAGAATGTAAGTACTTTTACTGATAATGATAATGAGCCGAAACCTTGTTCAAGAAGCAAAAGCACTAGTTCAGTTCATTTTGAATAAACTATATTCAGAACTGAAACACTCATAAAGGGAACATAACTTATTTGTTTTTGCAGTTAGTTTTATCAATTAACTAGAAACAAAATTGATAACTAATTAAACATAACTAGTTCACTAGTTCATTTGTCGGTTAATTGATGTGAAATAGATATAGCTAGCACTAGTTCGTCTTGCGGCTTATTTCATTTAATTAAAACTAACTTAACCAAACAAAATATTCAACACGCAGTTGGGTTTGGATTGATAGCCATAAAAACACTTCACTCTGAACGAGAGTTCAACTTGGTTCATATGAAAACTCACCAGGCATATGCGGCGACGTCTTCTGCTGCTGCAGTTTAGGAAGCTCTCTCTTGTTGGCTATTTGCAGTTGAACCTCGTCTAGGCGCACAGCGCCAGCAGCTGGTTCTCCGGACGCGCCCGATTCCGTTGGCAACGGCATGTGAAAGCGTTGCAAGTGCAAATCCAGAGCACGCTGCGAGGGCAACATCAGTGAGCATTGGCCACAGTGGAACTGCTGCACCATGTGGTGGTTGAGGATGTGCTGGCTGCGCTTGCTGCGACCGGCAAAGGCCAGCGGGCAGTGGGGACAATTGAAGGGCGCCACGGCCGGGTGCAGCTCAATGATGTGACGACTATACTCCAGGCTATTGGAGAAACGCGGTCCATTCTGGCAGAAGCGACACTTAAGCAAGGGCGGACGGCCGCGGGCGGGCGGCGGTACGGCAGGAGGCAAGCCTAATACTGTATTTTGTACTTGTTGTTGTGACTGTGAGTGAGGTTTTTGTTGTTGTGTACGTTGTTCCTGCTGCTGCTGTTGTTGCTGCTGCTGCTGCTGCTGCAGTTGCTGCGGTTGCGGCTGCTGCAACTGCTGTTGGGGATAGGCGTGCAGCTCATTGCCCAGGCTGGTGCCGTATGTTATATGCAGCGGCGCCTGTTGCGGATTGCTGGCGGATGCCACCGGCTGCTGCAGCTCTGGCTGCTGTATGAGTATCATAATGGGCTGCTGCTGTTGTTGCTGCTGCTGCTCCAGCACGTAGTTCTCATTGCTATCGAGTATTGCATAGCTATCGCCCGTCAGCTGAGCTGGTTGCTGCTGCAGCTGCGTCTGGTAGAGATCGCTGGCATTGATGTAGTAGGTGGTTGTGCCGCTGCCATTCAGACTATCCAGGCCGGCAACAGGTGTTGTTTTGATGGCCTCCAGGCCGCCCACAGTCGACCATTGCAGCTGTGTCGTTGTCGTCTGCTGTGCTGTTGTTGCCTGTGCCTGCCACAGTGTCTCCTGTGGCTGCATTTGGATGATCTGCAACTTATTGCCGTTCACTGGAGATTGGGCGGTAAGCGGCGTCTGGTACAGTGCCTCATAACTGACAGCTTCCTGCTGTAGCTGCAACTGTTGCTGTTGTTGCAGCGGCTGTTGCTGCTGTGCTGATTGCTGCTGTGCCGGCTGCAGCTCATTCAGCAGCTGCGTCAGCTCCAGCTGCAGGCTCTGCTGCGCCGCCATTGACTCAGGCGTAGCCTCAATGTTCTCAAAGCAGGGCATATCATTTTGGAAGCCGATCAGCTCATTGCTAAAGTTGCTGCTGTCAAACAGATTCCCCTCCTTCACCTGTTGCTGCTGCTGTGGCGACACCTGTCCCTGAGGTGTCTCAGCTGGCGATGAGTAGAGCTGTGGCGCCGTTGGCGTGGCCGCTGGCGTTTGCGTCTCGTTGAGCGGCACATAATCGGCAGGCGTTAGAAATTCATCAATCGGCGTACAGACAGGCGTATAGAGGTGCTGGTCCTGCATCTCATTCAGTATGCCATGCAAAGTGCTTTCCACATCGTTCATTTCCACCTCCAGCTGCTGCTTGGCTTCCACCAGTTCTAGTTCCGTTTGTGGCGCCTTCTTCGCCTGCAGCTTGAGCGTCTTCTCACAGTGCTTCTCGAATTCGGCCAAGAAATCCATCGAGCTGGCATTTACAGCACGAACCGGCTGCACTTCCGCAACCGGTACATGCGGCTGCATATCAGCTAATCGTTCCAGGGACTCCATGTCGTCGTCGAGTGGCACCACTGCCTTCCCTCCATTTGGTTCTGCTTCAATTTGTTTGGTTGTGAGTGCCACAGCAGCATTGAAGCTATCTGCTGTAGCACTCTGGCAAAAATTCTCACTATTCTCATTGTTATTCACATCGTCCGCCTCTGCGGGCTCCTTAGGCTCGGTATCTTGAGCTTGCTCTTCTTCCTCCTCCTGCGCGATTGGATCGCTGCTGCATAGTTTTCGCTGCAGCTCGTCGCCGAGCACATCTAACGGTATGCTTACTATAAGCTCCGACGCTGGCTCCTCCGCTTCTTGCACGGGCTCTTCAACGGGCGGCTGCTGTGCGTGCTGCTGCTCATCATTTGCAATGCCCAGCTCTATTTCGCATTCGGAAGCTGGCACTTCCGGCGACTGGCATTGACTGTCCTGGATTGGCTGGCTGTGCTCCATGGTGGATGAAGAGAGCTCTTCAGATTGAACTGTGGAATCAGCTGTTTCTGGAGTTCCATTGGTTATATCTACGGCCATCTGTTCCTCTGTCTCGTTTACTTTCCTTGATATGCTTTGCATTTGTTCTGTTGGCCTTTTGTCCTGAGTTTGATTGGTTGCATTTTCTTCAGGGTATTCAGTTGCGGCGGACGACTGCAACTGCTCTGGCGTGGCATGCGCCAGTTGTTCCATGGACTCACTTGTTGCTACTGTGGGCTTCACCTTATCGTTCTCAGCGGCTGTGGTCACATCTGCCGCTATTTCACTTGGTTTTTCTCGTTCCTCATCTGTTGTCACGGCTGCAAGATCCTCGGAGGTGGTTTCTGACTGTACATCCCGACTGTAGCATGGCTTCTCATCCGAGGAGCTGCTGGCCAGCTTTTCCTCTGCCCCGGCTGCGAGTATCTCTTCACACTGTTTCTCTTTTGGTTGACTGTTCGATTGCTTCATCTTCTGCTTGGACAAATGATTCTCTGCAGTTGCCTGCTTCTTCTTTTTCTTCGCAATGCGCTTCGCTCGCTTTAGCGGCACAGAGCTACGCCCACGTCGTCCTCGGCGCAGCACCACGTGCTGTTTTTTGGGCGTCTCTCGCTTTGGTGGAAACTGAAGCTGGCCAATTGGTTTAGGCGTTGTTGCGTCTTGGATGGCGGGAATAGCTACTGATAAAATGGAGGAGGGGGGCGACCAACCAGGGCAGTCGCTTGCGAAGCCGTGACATGGATTTACGGACAAATCGCTGAGCTGCTCGGGTGACGTTTGACCTGCGCTTGTTTCGGTCTCCGTGTCGGAACTCTTCGCCCGTGGCGGTGTCGCCAACTGTGCCTTTGTCAGCTCCTCTGGCGTTATGGACGCTGCACGGCAGTGGGAGGCCGTCGAACAGCTGGACCACGTTTCTGAGAGCTGTTTGCGTGCCGCCTTCGTTTTCCAGGGCATCTGCATTTTTTTGCATAGCATTCTCAGTGGCGAACGCTCCTTTAATTCGCCCTGCTGTGACGCACTTCGCGTCGGTTGTTCAGTCTTAATCTGGCTGGCTGGCAAGGAGGCAATGCGCATGTTACGCAATCTAAGCTGCAGGCGTCGCAGCTTGGCCGGCGTCGGCGCGCGTTCGGCTTCAGTCTTGGCTTGTTTTGGCTGCGATTCCAACTGTGTCGCCCCCTTACTAAGCACCAGGCGACGCTTGCGCTCGATTTGTGACTCGGGCAGGTGCAGATAATACTCTTCAGATGGCTCATTTTGCTGGGGTTGCTCGACTTGCTTGGCGGCCAGACGTCTCTTGCGCTCGGCTATCTCCTTGGCATACTCCTCTAGCCGCTGCTGTACACGCAAGCAGCGCCGCCGGAACTTGGCAACCATTATGAACTGTGCCTTGCATTGCCGACAGATCTCCTGGGGCAGGCCATCATCGCGTGAGATCTGCAAAAAAAGAAAACGTTTTAGTACACAGATCTATGTTAACTGATGGTGGGGTTCCTGCCTCTGGTAACGTTAATATAACAGTACGCTCAATGGCACTCTAATCAACAGTTAAGCCAAATATATTTTATAGCCGAATGCATTTCAAAGAATATTTTAGGCAGTACCCAATTAGTCAAAGCTATTTACCAACTGCCACACATTAATATTAAAAATATAAGGCGCGCTGTTAATGTTATGTTTATCAACCTGTTGCTCTTTTTTATTGTAAACTATCTTGTTCTTGCACTGGTTTTTTATAATTTTTGTTAAGCAGTCACTATTAATATAAATTTAAGAGTGCAATTTGAAATGTTGCCATGTTTAAAAACTTGCTAATGTAACTATAACAGGGTTTTTTCTTTTCAATATAAAGCTATTAACTAGCTTAAATTAATACAAAACCCGTCGGTTTATTTAAAGCTGTTAAATAAAATAAATGCATATTTCAACTAGATCACAAACTTTCAGCTATTTGACAAAGCAACAAATAACCGCTATTCATTCATTTTAAACCTTTAAGCATTACAAATGTTAAGTTATCGCTGTTAATGTTAATGTAAAACCGAACAATTTACAGTGAGATTTTTTTGAGTGTTGGAAACGTTTGTTCACACTCGCAGCCATTATTCAATTTCTGTTTTGACTCAATCGCATTTCAACCGATTATCTTTCACTTCTTGTAGCTACTTTTTGATCAACTTCAAAAGCTTATGCATTAATTTATTGACATTGAATATGTGTAAAGGGCATTGTAAATTACTTTTTTGGAAAGTAAGCGATATTAAACGATAAGCTATTGTCTCTGCTCAGCATAAATAAATATTTTATGGCCAGTTAAGCAGACAAAGCGGCGGGCGGCGATGTTCGCCTGCCCTGGCCTGGCCAGCCAAGTGGCAAAATTTGCAGCAAATGATTTGTCTTTGTTATCCAAGTGAACGATTTCATTAGAGTAGAATTACAACAACAACAACAATAATAGTAAACTTAACTGAAAATGACTGAAAATAAATGGCCATCGCCTAGTATCGAAGTTATTATGCAATTAACAAATGTTGATCTTGTTTTACTTGAATTCGGATAAATGGAAGAACCATGAGCAAGAAATAGGCCATACAAAATGTTCGTATAATCTTTATGGCATGCTCTGATACATTTAATGTATCTAGCGGTAATCTTTACAGTTGCATGTACTCGTGAGTTGCACGCTCTTCTTTTTGTCACATCCGTAAACGTTTTAAAGGCAACAACACATTCAGATTAACCTACTATTAAAAGCAGAGATGCAAGTAATTCAAATGCAATACGAAGACATATCGAACCTACCAAAGTTTTGGTAAACTACCTTGCAAGATGTGATGCATGTTGAAACACGTGCCTCAAAATCTGTCGAAAGAAATTTAAAATTCGAGGACAGACCTTATCTTTGACACTGCTAACGCCTGTTGGTTCAAGATCTTGTCATTGATTGATAAACACTTGTTGTGATGCCCGTAGATGTGTCACGCGGGCAGTCACAGGGTCTAGGTAAGAGGAAGACTCAGTTCAGATCAGAGAGATCACAATTTTGATTGGCGTTTAACTTGAAAATGCAAAAAATGGAAAAAAGAAGAGGCGGCAGCAGAGAATGCGAGGCCAGAGAAAAACGCGTAACGAAAATGATTTGGAAAGGCGAGCAACGTGATTTGGATACAGATAAGGGCATATGAATTGTATTGACGTTACCCCAAGTATAAACCATATGGTAATTGGCCACAAGTCCCCAAATTGGCATAAAATTCAAAACCCCACAAAAATAACAAGAACTATACAATTGTGATCGTAATTTATGCAGAGGTGGACAATAAAAGAGACGGAAACTCAGCATTTCGAATGCATGAAAATCGCCGACTCTGCATAGCCAATGAGTCCCCGAGAGTGCCAAACAGAGATGGAGATACAAATAGATATACGAGACGGCGTTGACGCAGAGGAAGTGCTAGAGACGTTGTCAAGTGTAAATTACAGCAAATCTAAAGACAAAGAAACGAACAAATACAAACATAAAAAAAAAAAATAAAAAATAAAAGCAAATTAAATAACGGCCGATTAAAGACGAACGCCTGCCCCCAGCTAAATAAAAATAGATGCACAAAGAGTCAGCACCGAATGCTCTTTAAAATGCATCTAACGAAAATAACAATTGAACGTACTTCAAAAATAAGACAACGAATCATTTGAATTGAGATATTACGCAGCAGAGTGTACAATAGATGGATGGGATGGGATGGACATCTCCTCTGATCTCTTTCCTATAATAAAGCGCAGAACAGAAAAGTTAGAAGAGGGCATCTTCATTACCAAAGATATAAATATTCTTGAACATAAAGATAAGCAGTCGATCCGCTTGTCTGCATAAGCGCATTGATCTAAGAGAGCTAGACATATATAGTGTAACTTCCTGTAACCATTGGAGAGATCAAAAAATTGATGTCTAAATAAATATCAATTGGCACAGCCTCATTTTATTGATGCTATTAACTTCATCTACACAGTATAGATGGTGGTTATCACCTAGTCGAGATTTTCAGCATTTTTAAGCAAATATATTTTACCTTATATAACATATATGTATGTCATGTATGTACGTCTCTCCAGCGATTTATCAATGCTTTTATGGCACGTTAAATAGCCACATTTACTGAGAAGGCTACAGAGATCTTCCATTTGTCAATATTGTGTGTACTCATCAGTTAAGCAATCGAGCAAAAAAGGTACAAAATTTGTCACACGAAATGGGGAAATTTGTCATACGAGATATTTTTATTTCATATATAATACACATCCACGATAATGGAAAAATATCAAGCAAATTGCTTAATAACACTACTATGCAAATTTCAGCAAATAATAATCGGATATTCGTCGGAGGTTTATCTATATAAAAATATAAATCAGTTATAAGCCAAATCTTCAGATCAGTGCATAGAAATGCGGGCAATGTTAGATATTAATCGGACTTAACTTGCAAATGAATTGAAAGTCAACATTAAATTATACACAAATCATGAGTGTGTTAAGAAATTTTGCATATTATAAGCCAAACTGAAGGATTGCAAAAAAAAAAAAAACAAATTTAAGACAAAACACATGCTGAAGAGAAAACATATTAACTATGAATTGGAAATAAAAGAAATCAAACCTAGACCTAAACCTAAAACACAAGCTAAAATTTGAATATAAATGGTATACATAAACGGAAATTAAAGACCACTAAATTTGGGCAGCTTAAATTTGGTTAAGACTTATAATTAATAGATTTAGTTTGGCGTTTTTCTAATAATATTTCAATTTTCTTGCTACATTGGAAATCAAAACATAAAACATTGTAAAACTCTGGAATTTAGCCGAATCTTACGTACAAAACTTCATAAACGAATTCTAAATAAGTTTAAATTGTTGAAAATGTTCAAATTAATTACAGAATTACTTGCAAGCTTTCTAAGTTCATCTACAGTTTGATTTAAAGGGGTAAACATGCTTTAATTATTCCGCACAAAGTCACATTAAAAACGCGGGTTCAAAAGCCGCGTTAAATAGTCAAATAATAAAAATAAATATTTACAAAGTCTAAGCTCCATGTAAATATTTAGCATAACAGGTTTCTATTCAATAAAACTAACAAGATGATTAATACAATAATAGCTAAGAGAAAACATGTGCTTGGCAAAAGGCTTTTCTCTCTTCTTTCTCGCTTTAAAGATTCCACAGGTTTTTCAAGCTACACGCGAAATGTGTTAGTTTTCTTTGGAAAATCCGCGCAGAGAAAATTGCAGGCAATGAAAAACAATTTACAGCATAAACATAATCTGATATTGGCCGCCGGCGAGTTGGACAAAAATTAATAACTGAAACATAGAAATTGGCCATAAATTTTAAGTCTAGGGTACACTGCAGAAAGAAAGAGATGAAGCTAGTCGCTGCATAACGGTAGCAAATGGCGATGTATACAGATAATAAATCGCATGTACGCAAACATAAATTTACATTTTTGATGATAATTCTCCCAGAACCCCCCGGCGGCAAACTAAAGTGGAAACATAAGTCAAGCCGGCCGAAGAAGTGGGTCTCGAGCCAAGTGCTGCGTGAAAAATGTGGCATTCTTGGCGCGGGGTTGACAACGCCAATGTTTAACTAATTAGCTGGGGGTTGTTTCGTTTTTAAACATTTGTTTTTTTTTTGTGCTGGGGGTGTAAATTTTATACAATTCATTTACAGTTCAAGTTGTGACTCTAATGCTGCCATAAAAAAGCCACAGCAGTCAGCGCCAAGCATCAAAGTGTAATCAAATTGCACGCGTCTAAAAAACCATCCATAGAACACGCGGAGAGAGAAGAGACGAGCTGGAGAGAGACAGCGCCACTTAATAAATCATAGCGCATTGACGCGAGGGAGTGAGGAGTGTGTGGTGGGCGGGCAAATTAGACAGTTTACTGCACACAATGCCCCAAAACTCATTCGGCTGCCCCCGCTCAAATCCAATTTCGCAAGGGCAACGTTGAGTGGTTAGCTCTTTGCCAGCCAACCAAAGCCCACGGTGAGAGTGGCAGAGAGAGAGAGAGATAAAGAGCGAGAGAGAGAGAGAGCGAGAAAGGAGTTTGGGAATATGTTCGTTTACGCTTCGGAATTCAGTTCGGATTCGGATTGGGATTTGCAACGCCTTTTCGCAGTTAATGAAACAAACACAAAAGCCAAATAAACAAACAAACAAACAACAACAACAACGAAAGCAACAATCCACTTGTGGAACTTGTTGGCTTTGACAATTTGCGACTTAATTGCAGCGGAAGGACAGACAGACAGACAGAGGCAGGGGCAACAGCAGCGGAGCGGGTAACAAACAGAGGCCGGAGGCGCGCAGCTGGCCAAAAAGGCAAAAAGAACAACAAAAAGGATGCTGCTGTCTCGCTCGGACGCTTTAG